ACATACTTGCAACAATTTGTTTTTATGCATTGTTTTGTGTTTAGAAAACCCCACACGGATGGCGAGAAGTGCTCATTGATGTCGACCCACAAGTTTCCGATAAACTGCGGTTTGTTCTGGCGCCGTGTGCCACCCCCGCAGAAGCCTTCATACAAGTAGGACTACGTTTATTTTTCTTCTTCGTTTGTTACCGTCCAAGTCTTACTTTCTGAGTTACTGTTTTAGAGGGCCATTCTAGGGGGAAATAGTCGCTTATAACAAGCGAGGTGCTTTTTATTAACAGTGAACCGTGCGGAGGCTCTTGTCGGGAGAATGGGTTAAAATCATTTCTCAGCTGTGTGACCGTCACTGTTGTGCAATCACAGATGGAGTTCATAAGCACTTGTCTCGTACCTTCTCCGTTGACCTGTCAAATGTTGACAATATTGTCTCTTGACTGGATGCGTTTTCTTTAAACTGTTCCTTACCAGCACGATGAGACAAGAGATCATGTGGAAGTGTGTCCTGAGGCCGGTGTTATTATTCAGGAACTTTCTCAGCGCATTGCTCTGACTGGAGGTGCTGCCCTGATTGCTGACTACGGTCATGACGGGACTAAGACAGACACCTTCAGAGTATGTGTCATTCAGTCACATGACTTGTCTGAATGTAATTGGCATGGTTTAGTTAACAGTTGTTAGTTTTGAAGCTCATTTAAGATCTTTATCTTTTGTTTCTATAGTGCTTCACAGTGTTGTATTACATTATTTTATAGTTAATATTAATTCACACTATAATTACTCTTAACTCTAGACCTTATTCCTAAGCCTAACTCCACTGTCAAACTCTCCTTTGAACAGGGTGTGAATTGTCCACATTCTTCCTTAAGTTGCAGAACCTAGGTCTGCATAGATCCTAATAAGCATCTAAATATACAAATGGAAAATTTTGCCTCAAGTTTTTTAAATATTCTACCCTTCATTTGAAGAAATAATTTGGAACTTCTTTGCAGATTTGATCTAGCTACTGTAATCATTCAAACTTTTCCTATAAGATTTGCAATATTTTCTTCTTCTCCAGATGTATTTTTTTTCTTCTCCCTAAACATCCGTTCTTAAATTCTTTGAATATGATCAGTTATGTTCAATTTACTTTAGTTGAAATATATTTAACTAGATGCTATTTGTCATTTTCTAAGTCTTGGGTTCTCAATTTTTAACTTTATTGCATCTAATAAAAACCCAGATAGTGTATTAGAAATGCTGATTTCCTAGCCTTACCTCCAGGATTCTGATTCACTAGGTCTGGATAGAGTCTAGTACCATATTCTCAGGTGGTTTTGAGGCACCTGGTTGGTGGTTAGACTTTGTAAAACACCATCTAGGTTGTGGCAACGTGGATTCATCCAGAGGATTAATGAGATCTCCTATTCGCGGGCAGGCATGAAAATGTTAACTGTGAAGGATAGCACCAACTTCAGGCACTCCAACACTGTGCCTTATATTGGGTTTTCCACATAGAAAATGGTGCTACTGCATCAACAGTGTGTAAACCGCCAATGTAAGCCATATTTTCAATGGTTGTTGTATAAAATGTATTAAAATAGCACGTCTTTAATCTTGATAATAGCATAAAAGGACAGAAACTTATCATTTTAAAAATTATGTTCAAGGGGTTTTGTGGCCACAAGCTTCATGATGTCTTAATTGCCCCAGGAACAGCCGACCTAACAGCCGACGTGGACTTCAGCTATTTGCGCAGAATGGCCCGGGGAACAGTGGCTTCTCTGGGTCCAGTAAAACAACACACGTTTTTAAAAAACATGGGCATTGATGTCCGGCTAAAGGTAATGGTCTACTCACGTATTATTAAATATTGTAAATTCGCAGTATTTCCAACAAACAGAAATTCACCCGGCCTAAATGTTCTTGTAGTTAGTCCAGGGGCCTGGGTCGGAGCAGCTTTTGTTTCACGCATCTCCACGGGAGGTAAAATTAAGATTTTCAAGTAGTGTTCATGTTCACGAAGAAAACGCAACTGCATTTATAAGTATGAATGTTAAAACTGTTCTGGGGACATTTTTACCCTTCAGTGTAGATCAGACCACCTGGGATTTGAACCCGGGGCCCTCAGTCCACAGGCCGACGCTCTATCCACTGAGCCAAACCGGTCAGGGCAGAAATAACATTTTGAACACTGCGTTATTGAATAGCTAATAGTCATTATTACTACATATAGCTGGAAGTCCTTTCTTCTGTTTTTTTACTAAGAAATTATTTTCCTTTCAGGTTCTTTTAAGTAAATCTGCTGAGCCAGCACTGAGGCAGCAGCTACTTCAGGGATATGATATGTTAATGAATCCTAAGAAGATGGGAGAACGATTTAACTTTTTTGCCTTGCTGCCTCATCAGAGACTTCAAGGTCCAAGCCAAGAGAGAAATGCAAATCAGTCAAAACCTTCTCCAGCGCCTGTGGCTGGATTTAGTGAACTTGCTTGGCAGTGACATTTCAGTTCGGACTTTTAGTCCCCAAGTCTACCTAAGAAACTAAAATAAAGGAAGTGAATTTCATATGTCACAGGTAAAATAAGTATTTTATTTCTTCACAGCCAATAAAAACAGCCCATCTTATATACAACTAATGGCCTGGTGCACAGATTCGTTCACATATTAATTGAAAGGTGGCCAGTGGGGCGGGACCGGGTGAGAGGGGCTGGACACACCCTGGAGCCAACCTCCAGTGGTCCCTGCCTGGCCGAGCGGCCCCGCAGCTCATAGGGCACCTGGGGAGTGGGGTCCCTTGGTCTGGCCCGTGGTGATCAGGCCGAAACTGGCTCTCTGACGCTCCCCGAGGGGTCCCGGATTGCAAGGGCGGTTCTTGGGTGACGCACCCCGGAACCAGGCTCCCTCCTCTCTGGTTCCAGGGTGTGTCACATGAGAACTGCTGCTGCCAAGTCACTACAGCTTGGCAGCTCCTGTGTTGAGCGTCTGCCCCCTGGTGGTCATTGCACATCATAGCTCCCCGTCAGATGGTAGATGGTCACTTAGCCTTTTAGGTAGGTAGGTAGGTAGGTAGATACAGCCAGCCAATTGTTAATCAATTTTTTTTCTCCTTGTTAATCCTCACCCAAGGATATTTTCCCATTTATTTTAGGAGAGAATGGAAGGGAGGAGAGGAGAGAGAGACATCAATGTGAGAGACACTGATTGATTGCCGCCAGCGTGTGCCCCAACCAGGAAAGGGATCAAGCCTACAACCGAGTATGTGCCCTTGACAAGAACCCTGGGACCCTTCAGTTTATAGGCTGAGGCTTATCCACTGGGCCACACTGGCTAGGGCTAAACACTGATCTTTTAAAGTTATTTTTTTGAAAAATTTTTATTGATTTCAGAGAGGGAGAGAGAGAGATATATCAATGATAAGAGAGAATCATTGATTGGCTGCCTCTTGCATGTCCCCCACTGGGGTTTGAGCCTGCAAACCAGGCATGTGCCCTTGACCGGAATCGAACCCGGGATCCTTCAGTCCACAGGCCGATACTCTTATCTATCCACTGAGCCAAACTGTCTAGGGCTAAATGTTAACCTTTTGAGTTATTTTAACTCTGGGAACACATACGCGTTCTTACGTGTGAAACTGAGTTTCTTTTAGTAAATAAAGCTAGTTGCTATATTTTTACTTTATTTAAAAAAGTAAACATGGACACTGATTAGAAAACTGGAAACAACCTAAATGGCCATTTACTGGGGACTGATTAAATAGATCTATCTACTAGTATATGTTTTTAAATCATGTAAAGTGGTATGTTCGGATATGAAAATATTATCTTGAGATTTGTAAAGTGGAAAGAATAGGATGCAAAATGTTTTAGTTATGATTACAGTTTTGTTGAAGAAAAGCTACATTTAAGGAAATGCTTATAATTCCGCAGAAATGAATATTTTAGTACAGATTGGTTTTCTGTTCTGTGATATCAGTATATAAGGAAAGGATGTCCAATAATCACTATTAAATTTCCCAGTCTGGAAGAGGGTCTTAGGGGAGGAAAGAGCATTTTTCTTTGTTTTCTTTTGAAGTATTTGGCTTTTTTTTTACCACTAAAAATAAAATTAGGTTTTAAAAGTTTAAAAATAACAGTAAAACCAGTAAGCATGTATTTACAATGTGAGTTAAATGTAGACTACCTAGGAGGTATATTTCCAAATTGAGCTAATTCTCCCTTATTTTCAGATAAATGTCAAGTTTTAGTTTTATTAAGTTCTCATGTTTTAGTTCACAGACTTTTATATTAATACCAGACACGTGGACTTTCTGAAGAAGTGCTATTTTAGCAACACAAATTTACAAGTGAGATTAAAGGAAAAGGATATTAGCCATGTGTCTTGAACTGTGTTGGAGTTCTTGGGCAGTGATAAATTCTTGCTTCTTATTGCTTCTTCGGCTTAACTGAGAACGGGATTAGCGTTCTGTGTCACTCTAAAGCACATGTGTCAAACACACGGCCCGCGGGCCAAATCCGTCCCGCCAGGCCTTGCAATGTGGCCCGCACCGCGCTGTCATCACTGCACTCGGCTGCGTTTCCATCACAATGACAGTCTATGACTGTTCAGTAAACCATTCGGCCCGCGATTGAGGCTGGATTTTAGATTTTGGCCCCTTCTCTGATTGAGTTCGACACCCCTACTCTAAAGCAAAAGAACATGGAGGCCTTATTTTTTCATACTGTCCAGCCTTGGGCCATTCTTAGCCACCCTTATTCTATTTCCATGATTTTTCCCCCTCAAAGTCTTGGTTGGGACAATTTTCAGAAGGTAAGAAAGCCTGTGGAAAACTAGAAACAACCAGGAGTCAGGCAGTGCCTTCTATGGTGAAACCTAGGAAATTCACTTGGTGTTAGGTATAAGTTAAACTAGCCTCTGGCAGCTGCAGTAGTGGATGATTTAAAGGTAGTGCCTAAAAAATTTATAGTTACAATTATTCAGACTTCAGTTCCAAGAAATGAGACCTCTAATTACCTCAAATTGCATATCAAATTACAATAATGAGTTATTTATTTTAGGCAGTTAAAAAAATCATTGTTCTTAAATATAGCATTAGTTCCATTTACAAATACTATTTCCAAAATAGTTCTCTTACCAAAGCCTGGGGAAATAACACAACGAAATAAAATTTTCTTTGGATATCTCGACTAGAGATAGGCTCAGGTTTCCACATGGAAAAGTATGGTGATATGGAAATACATTTTATTATTAAGCTTTTTTGAGGATATTTACAAAAAGTGGGATGTAACAAAAAATATAAAAATGTACTGAACAGTGTCATTATAGACTACTTTGTACATTATCAAATGTTTCTCACAATTTTTTATACAAACACAACTGATTTCAAGACAAAAAAGGTTATGCAGGTTATACAGTTTCTGGAGTAATTACTCAACTCCAAATTATCTGACAGTGCCTTTACAAATTTAGAAAACTTTTTAGGCATTCAACAACAAAAAGAGTGCAATAATTTCATGGCTTGTATCATTTGATTATATAAGTATAGCAAATACCATTCCAGTTAATTTTCACCTTATGTAGTAAAACCATAATAGGATGCCTGCTGACTCCTTTTTAGCACACTGATATAAACAGACTTTGGAGAAATTTGGGGAAGTCATCTATCCTAGGGAAAACACATTTCTAAAAGGTTTTGTAGACTCTGAGAGTGAAATACTGAGGGACATGGACTGTCTGCCGGAGACCTTTATGGGGAAGCAGGATGACAGAACGGTCAGAAGGGACTGGGCTCAAAAACTAACCGTGTGAACGTCGGCAGCTAGTTAATCTCCCGGTGCCTCAATTTCCCTGTTTGTGAGATGGGGCTCATTATGCACTTAGCTCATGACTGTTGTGAGTGGAAGGTAACATCTAAAGAACTCAAAAGAGCAACACTGCACGCTTGCTACTGCTCAAAGATTGTGAAAAGGTCTCAGACTCTTCGTTAAAAGAGGAACAATCTTTTCCTTTGCTACCTCTAGTTCAGTGGGCAGTGACAATGAACACTTTTATAGTTTTTAGCTTATTCATATATAACATCTTTAAAACAACACTGTGAGGAAGGTAGAGGCAAGAATTATGATCTTCATTTTGTAGGTTGAGGAACTCCAGGCTCAGACAAATTGTCACCTGGCCAGACCAACATAACTAATAAAGGGAGCCAAGTCTTTGTAAGACTTAAACCCGATCTTCTAATTCCAAATCTTCTGCTCTTTGGAGGGGGGAAAAAAGTTTACAATGATTAATGAAGAATGAAGAAACAAAAAGCCATTGATTTTATAAGTTCCAGATATTAAAATTTTTTGGGGAAAACTATTAAATAATTTTTAAAAAGCTATGAAGTCTAATCTCTTACATCAGTAGAAAAAACTTATTTAGCTGGCTGCTGGAGTTGAAATGTTTTAAAAATACTTATCCTTTCATTTGCTCTGCTGGTCATATAGCCCTACCCTTCTAAGGGTTTTATGCTCAACCCAAACTGTTTAAAATAACTTGATTTAAAAACACTCTAGACATCTGCACAGCCTTCCAATAAGCTAAGGGAAGAAAAAAAAAAAGGACACTGTTTGCTATTCTTTTCTATAGTTTTAACTGACCCTGCACTGGTGTTACTTTTAGTATATATTTAATTTCCTCCCTCAAATTAGTCTACCCTGTGTTAAGATAAATTATATAATTATAGTTTAGAGCTATACCCATTGGATGCTGGAATCTAATTGTGGCATCATAGTGGTGTCAGTGGGAACATAATTTATTAGCAGCAGAGTTGAGCTATGAGAAGACATACACAGTAACTCATCACTCAGATCAGCAGTTCCTGGTTTTGTAGCATCAGTTGTCCAAAATTACCTTAGAGGCTATTATAACAAAAGGTGACAACTTTTATGTTATAGAGAGCATATTCAGAGTTTCAACTCCCAAACAGTTAGAGATCACTGTTTTAGAGTCCTGATTGACCTAAAAAAGAAAGGTAAAATAGTCCAGCATTCCTTTTTTAGGTGGATATAAAAAAAACCTCCTCTAGGGTCAGTTAAATACGGTAAATGTTTAAAGTCTTTATAGGAAATCATATGCCAGCAGCCTCTCTGATATCTCTTTAAATTTGTTTAGTAATCAACCTTATAACTCTTGTATGATTTAATCAAGCTATGCAATAACTGGATCCTAGCTTGCCCATCTGTCCCCTTTCTTGAAAATAATATAAGAACAGGAAAGGGAAGATAAATTAAGTGCCACTATTGTACTAAAGTGAAGGATTAGGAAAAAAACAAAATACAAAAAAAGTTATTTCTTATGCTCTAAAAATTTATGAAAAGCTTCATCTTGGTGTCACTATATGTCTTTATCACTGTTTCCCCTCTTGTACCTACTCATGAACTACAGTATTGGTGTCACTGGTTCCTTATCACATTTCCTCATGTCTTTGCATCCTTGCAGATGACAGCCTCCAAAGAACAACAGTTGTGCAGCAAAATATCAGTCCATAAAATGAAATCTTTCCTTATTGAAGTTAGCTCGTTGATAATTAAGGATCTTCTTCCATGTCGTCTGGATTGGGAGCCATGATGAAGTGCTTTGGGTATTCAAGGTTGTGTGTGTACGCATGTATTTCCCAGCGGGCATCATCACTTTCATGTGTAATGTAACGTTCGCCAATGCGAGTTTCAAATTCTCTAAGGTCAAGCCAAGTCTGATAGTCCTAAAAAAATAATAATAATAAAGTGACTATGAACTATAAAACAAAATCCGTCAAAATCCGTCAACTTTTTTTCACCACCATCCTATCTAATAAGCGTAATATGCAATTGACTGTACCTACACTACACCCATAAGCCATGCCCACCAGCCATTTAAGAGCAAGTATGCAAATTAAATCAACCAAGATGGCTCCGGCCACGGAAAGAGCAGGAGACTTGGGTTTCCCCGGCAATGGAGGAAGCCAAGCTTTCCGCCTGCCCTGGCCTGCAATGGCCTCCGCTAAAGGCTACAAAGTTTCAATTATAGAAGATAAATCCCAGATCCCAGGACCTCTGCTTGGGTCATGGGGGGGGGGGGGGGGGGGGGGGGGGGGGGGGGAGAAGGGGGGTCGTAGCCAGCCTGCAAACCACCACAGGCCTCTCACCCTAAGGGAATCCCCACTCTGATCCAGGACACCCTTCAGAGCAAATCAGCCTGCCCCCACCATGCACCAGGCCTCTATCCCATCTAATCCTATTTAATAAAATAATATATAAATTGACTATCATTCCAACATACAAGATGGCTACCCCCTTGTGGTCAAAGATGACTGCCCCCAAGTGGACATAAGATGGCCAGCAGGGGACCAGGCCTGCAAGGAAGGACAGTTGGAGGTGATCAAGCCTGCAGGGGAGGGCAGTTAGGGGTGACCAGGCCTGCAGGGGAGGGCAGTTAGGCATCAATCAGGCTGGCAGGCAGAAGCGGTTAGGGGCATTCAGAAAGGCAGACAGGCCAGCAGTCCTAGATTGTGAGAGTGGTCTCAGATTGGAGAGAGCAGGCTGGGCTGAGGCACACCCTCCCCCCACCCCATGCACAAAATTTGTGTACCGGGACACTAGTATAATCATATAATTGACTAGCTCCTACTCATAAGTACTTGCTATATAAAGTAAGTTCCATTTGTAATATTTTAAATTATCAATATTAAAGATAAATACTTCTTCAAACTGAATATGAAGAAATTAGTTTCTAAAGTTAAAAAAAAATTGTCTCAGGCTTCTGAGGAGGCTAATCACAAAAACACTGTTTTTTACTATACGAGGTCTATGACTTACTCCTTAAAATAGGAGGAAGTGTTTAGCTAGAATCTATTATCAGGATAATTTAATAGGCCCTGAGAATAGCCAAAACCGGTTTGGCTCAGTGGTAGAGCATCAGTCTGCGGACTGAAAGGTCCCAGGTTCGATTCCAGTCAAAGGCATGTACATTGCACATCCAGATGCGGGCACATCCCCGGTAGGGGGTGTGCAAGAGGCAGCTGGTCATATTTCTCTCTCATCGATGTTTCTAGCTCTTTATCCCTCTCTCCTCCTCTCTGTAAAAAATCAATAAAATATATATTTTTTAAAAATAGGCCCTGAGAATAATTACTATTGATTTGTTTCTAAGTTAACTCTACTTCTCACTGCTTTTACAATAGATTTAATGATTCTCTCTTTATACTGAGGTTTAGGGGTAACTTTTAAAAAATCTATACAATAGCTTTTGGAGGAATTAAGGCAAATGTTTCAAATGGCATTTCTAATCTCTTCAATGCAAATATGGACCTTTGAATAGAAATTTATTTAGAAGTAAAATATACTTGAAAATAATGTGTTAAGCTCACTGTACAAAAAAGTGAACTAAACACAAAGCATGAAAGACAAATTCACTGCTTTCAGTTTATGAGCGTTAACTGCCTATCAGTTCTGCACTTCAGGGGCGTATTGCAGGAACTTTCAGAGATTCAGCCACAGAACATGTTATCACTAGAGAACACGAGCGTTATTCTAACCTAAGATGTGTAGAGCCTGCTGATCTTACAGTAATTTCATTAGGTAAGAGAAATCACAATGATCTACTTAAGTGAGGTTTGACAAAGAGAGACACATTTTTTTTACCTGCAGCCAGGGATGACTAAGAGATTTGTCCACACTGTAACGTTTTCTCATCTTCACTTGAAGTAGGTTGTTTATCAAATCAATTGCTAAGGCAAATACAAAATTAGAAGCATGAATTTGGGAGTACAAAGCATCCCAAACCTGTGGCACTTCCTGGAAGGCAGTTTAATCCATAGAAATACATAGAAGGTTGAGGAATTTTTTCCCCATTAAGGAAATGGCCTTTAAGCTAACTTGTTAGTGACCCATGAAACTGTTTACTGAATTTACAGCATATCTTTTATTAAGGAGGCAATATAAAAATACAAGTTAAAAGTATAGACTGATAGGAATAATTAACATTGTTAAAATTTCCATACTACCCAAAGCAATCTATAGATTCAATGCAATTCCTATAAAAATACCAGTGGTGTATTTCACAGAACTAGAACAAAGATTCCAAAAATGTATATGGAACTACAAAAGACTCCAAATAGCCTAAGCAATCTTGAGAAAGAAGAACAAAGTTGGAAGTAATTATTCTACCTAATATCAAACTATACTATAAGGCCATAATAATCAAAACAACATGGTACTGGTATAAAAACAGGCATACATATCAGTGGCACAAAATAAATCCCAGAAATAAATCCATGCCTTTATAGTCAATATTTGAGGCAAGAATATATAGTAGGGTAAAGTGTTTCCTGAGGATGCATTTGCCTGTGATGAGCAGAAAGGACAGAGATTTTAGTGGTTCAAAACGAGCCAAGTGGGGCCTGGAGTAGTGCTATGCCGGTGCTCAAAAACCGGTAACTAATGGAATTTGGAAGATGACTAGGAGATATAAAAGAAGTAAAAAAAAAAAAAGGCTGCTAGGGGGTCACAAAGATTTTTAGACTAAAAGGCATAGAGCTAAACATTTTCATTTTATTTTTTTTTACCTTCAAGAGAAATTTCTTTCCATGGATTTGGTGGATACATAAATGCAGCATTTTGGATTTGGTCATTTATATCTTCATCTTCATTAAAAGGAAATGTGCCACTGAGGCTCACGTAGACAATCACTCCCACTGACCACATGTCTAGAGAACGGTTGTAGCCTTTGCTTCTGAGAACCTCCGGGGCTAAGTACGCTGGGGTTCCTACCACAGACCGCCGGAACGACTTTTCCCCGATGATGCGCGCAAAACCAAAGTCACACAGCTTCACCTGCAATGCAGAGGATGGTGCTAATTATATCTTCTTCTACATTATCTAACCTATCCCTAAATGACAGTGTATCACACTTGCCAACTGATAAGATAACCACTAGGCATTATGAAAGAAAGAATATGATCACTTCTTTAAAAGTAAAAAGGTTAAATCATTTTTAATACTTTTTTTTCTTTGAAAGACATTTTGAGTTGAATTTACCACGTACAATAGCCATCTGCTGTTTTTATTCTAGGCATCTGTCTAGTTGTACATGTTTTAAATGTACTTAAACAATAGTTTGGCAGCAGATATTCTAGCTGTTTGGAAGGTTCATTAATGACACAACCGTGAAAAACATTCATAGGCACCGCCAACATATTTCTCAGGGAAAATTTTCAAACTTTGGGTCATGATTCATTTTTAGGTGGTGAAATAAATCTGGATCAAGATCAACATTTTTTAATGAAAAATTTAACTGAGTAAAAAAACCCCCCCAAAAAAACAGTGCATCACACATAGTGCACCAACGGTATTCTATGTGCTTGAGCATTGGTGGTGATGGGAAATGTAATTCTTACCTAGGTTTTGGTAAAAATACTTGAAATATAATATTCTAAAGAGCAAGAGGAACTGGCTTCCTGCCAACTAGATAATCATAACCTAGTGTCTCCCAATGCAGGGTCTCCCTTCAGCTGGTTTTGTCCTCAGCAACGAGCACCTTCCAAGGCCGATTCTCCCCCACTTCATTCCCAACCCAGAAGGAGAGGTGAATTGCACACAGTCTACGTGCAGAGATCTGGTTAAATTTAGAAAGTCTTTCATAAAAATGAACAATATAATTAGCAAAATCTGAATTCAAACTATTCAGATATTAAACCTTACTGGCAGTTACAGGCTGAAAACCATTTCTGTGAAATGGTTCTATACTTGAACTTACAGCATGGCTTTTTGTTAATGTAAGTACTTCGTCATGTTGAAAGATACTTAAAATGATACTTAAGAAGGTTTGGAGAACATCTCACCTGAGGAAACGGCTCTGCTGATGCGAGTAGCACATTTTCTGGCTTTAAATCACAGTGCACGATATTTTTAAAATGTAGATTCCTCAAAGCAACAAGGATCTGTTATTGAAAGAAAACAGTTTTTTTTCCACGCCTGGGAAAATAATAGCTAAATCCCAATCTAACCTGTTGAACGATACAGTAATTTGAAAAGCCAACTACAGCTCATCAAGATTTAATTGTGTTATTCTATGCTTCAAGATTAGCAATTCCCACATTAGGAATATGTAAAATACATACATTACTATTTAATTATTTTGTGTAGTTTCTAATCATCCCAATATATTTAACTAAAAGATAAAAAATAAAATAAAGCATAGGGAACATAGCCAATAATACTATAACAACTATGGTGTCACATGGGCACTAGACTTACCAGGGTGACCACTTTGTAAATGTTGTAAATGTCTAATCACTATGTTGTACACATGAAACTAATATGATATTGTGTCAAGTGTAATTGAACAATTTAAAAAAGAAACAATGCTAACATAAAAGAACTTCTAAAACAGGATACGAGTAAAATAAAAATAAAAAACTAGGCAGTTCTTTCACTGTCAAAAAATTATTCTCTAGTTTAAAAAAACGGCTCAGATACCTGTGTCACCATGAACTTAGTAATTCGTTCTGGAAGTCGACTTTTCTCACTGGACAGAATCATTTCCAACATATCTCCATGCAGCTTTTCCATTACTACAAAAACTCGTTCTGGGGTTTCAAACATGCATTCCAGGTTTACAATCCCAGGATGGTGCAAATTCTGAAGAGGTGCAGGATTCATTGTAGGGAATACATGGAAAAGGAAGAAAAACAGCTTAGGAAAATAAGCAATGAAAGCAAACAAAATATATTACGATTTTTCCAAATTATGGAGAGCTGATACACTGAGGCGAAAGAGTATCTCCCCAACTTGATTATATAATTGCCCTGTCCATTACTTCTTTTCTTTCTCACCTTTTCAATCTTCTGACACTAACTTTATGCTATACACGAATAAGCACCAATTGCCAATCAAATTTTAGCTAATTACAACAGAACTCTTTGGGGCAAGTATTTGTGAAGGTCTTTGCTCAAGAGATGGTTTTGTTTTTTAAGGTAATTATTTACCCAAGTCTTGATACTCATTAAGTTATAGGTCGATTTGGTCTTCCATTGTTTAGACTCAGCATCTTTCTATCTCCATCAACCCATGCTACTTGAGTACTATTATGTTACCAGGGCTGGACAACACAAAGATGAATGTGATACTGTTTCTGCTAATAAAAAAGCAACCTGTCTTACTGGGAGAGTTCCTCTAAAGCAAACTTGAGAAGTCACCCATGCTCAAAAATGTTCAAATAGCACTTTATTTCTGGGCATACATCTTAATTCCTCTGCTGGGATTTTAAGATCTTAAAAAATCTGACTTCATTCTCCCAATTCATCTTAAATATGCTCCATTGACTCAAGTAATTAAACTTTTAATTTCTTATGAATAGAAATATTTTTCTTATGCTTTTCGTCCTTATCATGGGTGCTTAATTATGCTAAGAGGGCAAACTTTTTTTGGTGTCTATGTGAAGTTGAGCTCCATCTCTAAAATGTTTTTAAATCCACCATCATCTCAATTCCCCCAATATTTATCCCATGGTTCCACAATGTATGTGTATGTATCTCACTCTGTAGCCTCATTAGCTCATTAGGGGCAGACTGTGTCTTAGTCATTTTAAATCTATGTCTAATTCATGATTGTTTTTTTTTTAAATGTTTAAGAAAATGAGTAAGAAGCACAAAATATTGTTTGCTAATCAACCTATAACAATTTAATGTTCCAATTTACTAATCAACTTAAAACACCATAATCTTACAAGCAGCAAAAAGTGACAAAATTTTATAAACAGAAGTGAAATAGCCCACAGTGAATAATTAATGGCAGTAGCAGTGAAAAATTCAGAATACTGTAACTTTTTTTGGTCAACCTAGAGTTGGAAGTATGGCTGGGTGTCCCCTATGCTGTAGTTGTCTATTAAGTTCCCCTCCTCACCACCTCCTAAAAACACACATGCACATACAAAAATGGAATTGTGCTGTAACATTATTCTCCCTTAACTTCTGTTTAAATGTCCTAGCTTCTCTGAAATCTGCTTTGGAAAATTATAATTTCATAGAAAATTAACCATTTTTCTCCTGGTTTTCTAATTTTTCTGATAGAATTGTGCAAGGTAGTTTCTTAAGAATGCCTTATATATTTTTTTTTTCTTTCAGTATTTGTGGTTATCTCTTTAAGATGTTTTTATATATATATTTTTTTTATTAGGTTGACTATTTTGTTATCCCAACCCCGAAAGAACATGCTTTTGGAGAATTTTTATTATTTTCAGTATTAAATTTATTAATTTCATTTTTACTTAATCCCTTCTGCTTTCCTTAAACTCATTGTTCTTTCCTTAAATTCCTGAGGTCGATTCTTAATTTATTTTCATTCTTTCTTGCTTAATATTTGAAGTTATAAAGCTTTCTCAGAGCAATAGTTCAAATAAGTAATTATTTTCTAAAGTGTTCTGAAATTTTGACTTTGCTTTGATTCAAGAATTAAAATAGTATTGTTTTCAGGTGGTGAGGGCTTTATATATATATATATTGACATCTACTTCTAGATAATCGCATGAAGATCAAATAATACTATTCCTTAAATATTTAATTTGAATATGCATATATTCGTATGACTGGTTATTTGGTATAGTGTGATTTGTACTCTTACACTGTTAAGTGCCCTTCTTCAATTCATTTAACGTGTTTTCCCTTGAATTAAACAAATCTTATCGATCATGACACCCCTTGACTGTCCTCTGAGAAGGCGCCTGGATATCACAGTTGTGATCTCAGAAAGAGCCAGCAAAATCCATTCTGGGGGTATCCCTTCCTGCATGCGCCCTGCTCCATCTCCGTATTTCTGGAAAAATTTCTACTGATTTTTTAGGTCTGAACTCTCTTTTATTATGAAGGACAGAGTATGCTTTACAGTTTACGTTTTCTCACAGCTTAGGATGGCTCCCAAGAAGGGGAAAATGCTGGCTTTGTAACACAATATTCAAAACAGAAAGTTCCTGCTTAAGTTTGTGATAATGTTTTCTCAGCACCACCCCTTTTCTACCTCAGGCAACAGCCAAAGAAACACTTATCATTACTATGAAATTACCATCACTATGAAATGAAAGTAAAAGTCCGCATGCTCCCAGATGAGACAATGCTGACAGTGTATGCAGGTATGAATCCTTTTCTGCACATAACCATATATCATCATATATAGTATACACATTCTATAAGAGAGTCACTGATCGACTGCCTCCTGCACATCCCCTATGAGAAATTATACAAATGGATCATTTCATACTTCCTTTTTAAAAATTTAGTATGTTCTAAGTAATTCCCCACATAAATACATTTATTCAACAAATAATAAGAGTTCTTGCTATATGCCTAGTACTACGAGGTACTAGTTTGAATTCATCAGTCAACAAAACTGATAAATATCTCTTGTTTAATGGAGCATCTTCCTGCTAGGTGAATTTGAGAAAAATTAAGTATAGTTTATGACACAAATACACCATTTACTAAATATAAAAATGTAAATATTTTATATGAATAATTTGAAGAGAATCTACCACAAACGTAGTATTGAATTAAATTTAAGATGACAATATTATATTTGGAAACATTTTACAATTACTTAATTCTATCCCCACAGGTGGGCAATTTCAAGCAAAATAACCAGAACGATACACTAATAAAGTTTTTACATTGTGCACTACCTAAAAATTCCTATTCGTTACCATGATCCAGAGTTGCTAACATAGAGGAAAAGAGGTTTAGTGTTTATGATAAAAAATGACATCAAGAAATCAAGCTTTAGGAATATATCCTTAATATTTATTTATTTTTGCATATCAGTTGGATGAGAAAGATTCCAAAATAAAATATGAAAAAAGATCTCTTAATAATGTCATAGCCTAATACAGAGTGTGAATGCTAATATCCCATTTAGGGTAATTTTCTTTGCAGGAGGCAGCCTTGAAGTGAACACAGGTAGCTTGTAGACCAACCATTTGATTATCACTCCTCTGAAAAAGAAGTGAGACAAATGTTATTACTAGTGACCAATAGTATAATAAATGTAAAATTAGTTATGTGTTTATAAATTTCTTACCTTCTTCCAGGAACCGTAAGTTTAGTGAGAATGTCTTCTTGAACTTCACCCACAAGCAAATTGGGCGCTGACAGCTTTAACTATCACATCACCATGATTTCTAGAATGTTGTGCACAAGCTACACATTGAATTGATAGAAACTTGAATGTTATGTATTAAATGTTGTATACTGTTTTATATATTAAGTATTTTTTAAAAAAATAAACATTTAAGATAAATACTTAAATAAGATAAACATTTATCAGAAAAATTAAATAGATAAAACTAAATCTTACCCTTTGGTGACTCCCAAAAGAGGTAAAAATGTTAAAAGAAAATAAAACACACAGTAGCCCAGCCAGTGTTGCTCAGTGGTTGAGTATCAACCCATCAGGCACCCGGAGGTTGCATGTTCAATTCCCAGTCAGGGCACACACCCTGGTTGAGGGCTGGATCCCCAGAATGGGATGTGCAGGAGGCAGCCAATCCATGTTTCTCTCTCATCAATGTTTCTCTCTCTCTCTCTCCCTAAAATCAATAAAAAATGTATTTTAAAAAACACATAGTAATTTATTTTATGGGATTTAACTCACCGCCAATATATCTTTTAAAATATACCTTAATGGATTAAGACATTCATAAGTTAATTCTTTAAACTGATAAGAACAGATACTACACTTGATCTTAGCCAAAAGGCCGAGAAGCGATATAAGTTAATTCTTTAGAGTTTTGAATTAATAAAATAACAACTACTACTGTTATTTAGTAAAAGCTTTTAAAACATATTTTTATTGATTTCAGAGAGAGGGAGAAAGATAGTTAGAAACATCAATGATGTAATCATTGATCAGCTGCCTCCTGCACACTCCCTACTGGGGACCAAGCCAGCAACCTGGCCCATGTGCCCTAATTGGGAATATAACCATGACCTCTTGGTTCATAGGTCAACACAACCATTGAACCACACCAGCCAGGCTAAAGGTAAGTAATTTTTAAGCAGTCTTTATTTTTATAATAATTGCTATAATAGTCAAGAACCTAATCTGTGAGAATTGGTTGGTACAAAAATAACCTAACAAAATGTGGTGATAGATGTATTAAGAATAGAATGTTTTTTAAAGATTTTACTTGTGAAAATGTCTTCTAAATAAATTACTACCATAGAGCAAAATAATGAGATTCTTTGTAACTCCTGGTTTACTGTACTTTAATTTTTCCTTTTTAAAAAAAATATTTTATTGATTTTTTTTTTTTACAGAGAGGAAGAGAGAGGGATAGAGAGTTAGAAACATCGATGAGAGAGAATCATCGACCAACTGCCTCCTGCTGGGGATGTGCCTGCAACCAAGGTACATGCCCTTGACCAGAATCAAACCTGGGACCCTTCAGTCCGCAGGCCGACGCTCTATCCACTGAGCCAAACCGGTTTCGGCTAATTTTTTCTTTTTAAAAAAGAACTTAAGGAGTTAATTCAGATGTTCACTACCCTCTCACTAAGCCAAAAGGTCATGAGACCAAAACAAAACAAAACAAAATCCCAAATCTTATTCTTAACAGTATATTGAACAGTCTTTGATTTAAAATTCATAAATCAAAATTAAAACCCTCGAAAAGCAGCTTTTTTTTTTTTTTTTTTTTTTACCTGTAAAATAGCCACTTCATTACGGAGTTGACTTTCCTGTTTTGTGGGAAATCTCATCTTATCAATTACTTTAATAGCCACATCCCTTCCAGTCTTCCTATGTTTTCCTATTTTTAAAAAAAGTATAGAAAAAAAAAGAAGCAAATTGACAGTTCACATGCAATACAAAAGCTTTATCTCAAAGTTGCCCACAGACTGAAATTTATATGAATTTACTCTTATGTTTCTTTGGCTCATTTTGTTCTTTCTCCTTCTCTCACCTTTAATTTTGAGAAATAAATTATTTGACCCCAATAAAGGGAGTTTTATTTTTTGAAATGGTAGGAATTTGAATCAACTTGATGAAAAATAATCTACCTTATTAAATAAATGATAGTTAACTGTCATTTAGAGACTCTATCAAGATGGGAACATTGTACCAATGGATTAATTTTATTCTAGGCTCACTGAATCAGCGAGTGATTTAACCATATTATTAGAGCAAGCCTGGAGGCAGTAAGGCCAATTAGGAGACTACTTGTCATAGTCTTAGCAAGGGATGACAAGGGTTTAACAAATCTTTTGTTAAAGCTTCTCAAGTACCCTTCTGTACATTAAGTTAATATTCACAAGCACATGAGCTTGCACATCAGCTTCTATTAGCTCCATTAAATTGATGAAGATTCTGAGGCACAGTGAGGTTAAGTGACTGCCAATATCCTAAATCACAGAGCAAACAGTAGACACATGTTCTCATTTGTGTTGGAAAACCAGTAGGACATATACTTCAATGAACAGGCATAACTTCAAACCATTTATTTTTCATACACAAATATGTGCGAGCTACAGAAAGAGATAAAGGCTACTGTGAAACTAATTTTCTTATTTTTTCTGCTACTTAATTGTGACAAGACGTAATAGCTGGCAGATGTTTTAAAATTTCACAATGTTTCTATGGTATGTATTATATGATACTATATGTAAATGGCTGTAGTCACTTACCTCCATAAACAATGCCAAACTGGCCTGAACCAAGCACCTCATCTGCAAAGATCTGGTAAACAGTACTGATGTCCTATTTAGGAAAGAGTAAGCAGTAAGTATAATTTACCCTTAAAAAGCATTTTCAACATCTCTGACTCTTAAAACACTTAAATACATTTTTGTTTTTATGACACAGGCAACTAATTTTCATATCAATATTTTATGAAACACTGGCTTTGTATGGTCTAGAAAAGTAAGCCTAATTTTCATACTGTCACTCTCAATGTGCAAATATAATGTATTCTGTAAGAAGACCATTAGGAAGAAATGCTTTGAATTAAAAAAAAAATCATATATTTATTAAGTAGTGATCTATAAAAAGTAAATTAACATAAAAATTAAGACAAAGTTTTACCTATTTTAGTATTAAAGAGATTTGTTATCTTTAATTTGAAAACACACACAAAAGGTTCATATTAAGATTAAGCTAATTTGGAAAGACTGATGAAAAGGAAAGTCTGTAACTCAAAAATCCACTCCTCAACTTATCCCTGCCCTCCCTCCCATTTCCTTCCTTCCTTCTTCTTTTTTAAAAAAAATAATGGTGGTAGTTGTCAGAAAATTCTTTGGGGTGTGGCACTCTCCAATGCTACTGCTCTTCAGTCAAGGTCACCCTCTGTTGGGTATGTACTGCAGTCCCATGATGTTAGCCACTCGATCTTGTTTAGTGTTATATTCCTAGCCAGTGCCTGTCTCATGGTAGTCAGTCTAATAATTTATAGTCTCCTAGGCCTCAATTTTCTTGTTGGTAAAGTGGGAATAACATCTATCTCACTAAATTTCTGAGTAAATTAAATGCAGATATATACAAAGTGTCAAGATTTCCATTGCCTAATACATAAAAACCTGTGCAGCTGACCTTGAACAATGTGGGGATGAGGGATGCCAACCCCCATGCAGTCAAAAATCAACATATGACCTTTGACTTCCCCGAATCTTAACTATTCTTGGCCCTTTGCATTCAACCAACTACAGAACAAAAATACTGTTTTCACTCTGCAATTGGTTGAATCCATGGATGTGAAATCTGAGAATAAGAAAAACAGGTAATTTTTACTTACCACATTTTCCTGGATCTGACAATTAGATACGGAGATACTAGTAGACAAATCTTCTGTAAAATATAAGAATAATGCATGAGAAAAGAACAAAACAGTATATGACTTAACAATATTGATATTTACAAATATGTGAATGCCTACAGTATATTAAATTTAAACCACTAGCTAACTTTCAGTTAATATAATGTAATTACATTAGTTAAAAAGATATATATATACACATGCAACACTAATCCAGGAAGAGGAAACTGGTTCAGCACTGTGGCTCGAAGGGTGTCTGCGTGAGTACGGTCCCTTTGGTAGGTGGGGTCCGTTGGCCTGGCCTTCAGGGATCAGGCCAAAACCGGCTCTCCGTCATCCCCCGAGGGGTCCCGGAGTGCTAGAGGGCACTCTGCAAAGTTGCTGTGGTACAAGGTGTGGAACACAAATGCAAGTGTGCAGTAAACCAGATTTGGGGTCGACAGTGCCCCAGCAAAAACATGACCCACGGCCAAAGGTGGAATCACATGGCCCCTACATGAAATTGGGCTCCTTCCTCTCTGGTTTCAGGGTGTGTCACCCAAGAACTGCTGCTGCCAAGTCACTGCAGCTCAGCAGCTCCTGTGTTGAGCGTCTGCCCCCTGGTGGTCAGTGCATAGCTACTGGCCGGACAGTTGGAGGCTTAGCATATTAGTCTTTTATATATAGAGAGAGTAATATAGGTGCCCCTTCCCCCAATCTCTTCTCAAACCAATAAATATACACCAAACTATTAATAATAGTTTTCTGAGGTGGAGGATTGGGAATGGGGAGATGTTTTATGTGTGTAGGGAGTATTTTATAGTTTTATATATTTCTACAAAGTTTAAATGTTTGTATCACTTTGAGAATAAAAATAAGAAATTAACAAGAAAAACAGAGAGGGAAACATGGAAAGTAAGGGGACCAGATATGAAACATCTAAATCTTTGGAGACAACTCAAAGAAACAAGATATAAATTTTACTTAATAATCGCAAATATAAAAATATAAAACTTCATTAACAAGGAAATGTAAATAAACTATAAATAAAAGTAAGTAACATGACTGTCAAAAACTCCATTTTCGTCAACTAAAAAGTATTTCAGCTTGAGTGTCAACCTATGAAAGAGGGGGTCAGGGTTCTATTTCCTGTCAGGGCACAGGCCCAGGTTTGCGAGCTAGATCCCAGTAGGGGGCATGCAACATCTCTCATCACTGATGTTCTCTCTCTCTCTCTCTCTCTCTCTCTCTCTCTCTCTTTTTCTCTCTCTCCCCTTCTTTTCCTCTCTGAAAGCAATAAAAATATTAAAAAAATATTTCAAATGTTGAATATTAATGAAACAAAAAAAGTACAGCATCCGCAAAATAAATGTGCCTCAAACTTGCTTTTCAGTAATCCGTTTCCCAGTTTAAGTCAGTATGTATTTTGTTTCAAAGGCCTCCACTATGTAACTCCATCCAGTTTTAATTTCTATTGCTTCCCAGGAGAACTCTGCTCCAGATAAGAAACAGCCACAGCAGCAGCCACACAGTAATATGTCACTAATGTGTCAGAAACTGCTAAGTGCATGAAGAGCACTTATTTATTCCCACTTCAGAGAAATGTAGAGGCCAAGATCACATAGCTAGTAAGTGGCAGAATTGGAGTTTTGTTGTCACTTTTAACCTTTCCCCAATTCTGCTTTTAGGAACTCTTAACCCTAGGGCACATGTGTCAAACACAAGGCCCGAGGGCCAAATCCGTCCCGCCAGGCCTTGCAATGTGGCCCGCACCGCGCTGTCATCACTGCACTCGCTGCGTTTCCATCACAATGACAGTTTATGACTGTTCAGTAAACCATTCGGCCCGCGATTTAGGCTGGATTTTAGATTTTGGCCCCTTCTCTGATTGAGTTCGACACCCCTACCCTAGGGGGTTTACCCATGTTTGGGCTTGAGAAGGTTCCCTAAATGCAATTATAACAACATTTGTGTGCATGTACCTATATTATACTGGGGGAAAGGTTCATGATTTTCATTCAAATATATTACTCTATCCAAAATCCCTCCAATCTTAAGGAGCACTGTGAATATACATCTATTCACCTTCTAATAATCAATAGTAGACACCAAACATGTTCATGAACTTACCCTTGTCCCTTTGATCACACTTTCTACTCAACTAGAGAACACTACCTTGTTCACCTCTGCCATTTAGCCCTGCCTACCCTAAGATCCAAGCTCAAGGTCCAAATCAGGTTTTTCTACCATAAAATCTCTACTTACTCTTCCATTCCACATTTGAGTTCCTCAAGGAATGCATTACTCATTTTTGCACTCTACAGCTCTATGTACTGTCTAACACTTGTGGACATGTCTTATCTCCTTAAATAGCTTTAAAATTTTCTGTTTGTTTTTTTTTTTATATTCTAGCTCAGGGCCTATCATAATGCCAAGAATAGCTACACAAAATACAGCTGATCTGAAATAAAAACTTAATTTAGAAACAGGTTGATATGTTTCAACTTAAATATATCGTATTTCTCTAATAAATGAATTATGTTTCCCCATAAATAGCATAGTGCCAATGGAGGGAAAGTGCCATAATAATATGGCTTTCTGATTGTTCACTTAAACCTTTATCAAAATTTGTTGGTGCAAAGGACATGCTTCAATAAATTTTTAATATTTCTGCATGTGTTAATTCAGTTAAAAGAAATACAGCATTTCTGACTTCACAAATTTCATGAGTGCGATGTGAACCATAACCCTTTAAAGCCTGCTATATCCCACCATGAAGCAAAACACTAATACCAGTAGTTAATCAATGAGAATTCATGGATGCTAAACACTTCTGTGTATCTTATAGGTTCTTCTTCATTTAATACTGACAACCCTAAAAAGAAGGTACTATTATAGAGAGGTACAGTATTTGTCTAAGACCACATAGCAAGGTAGCCAAGCCAGGATTTAAATGCAGGAAGACTGACCCGAGAATCTAGCTCTAGGGGACTGTATGTATACACTATAACCAGCACAACTGTACAAAGAGTTAACTAATGGTATTGGTTATGCCAGATAAAGCTTAAAATAAGCATTAAAATATATACAGAAAGCATGATCACACAACAAAATACTTAAGAACCAAAATGGGGAGGAGGTTAGGGGGAAGCCATCAACAAGCTTATTGCTTACTGTGATCTTTCCCTTGCCCCGGAGAAGTGCAAATACTGGCTTGAGGGGTGACGGGCATGAGAGCCTGGCGAATTGCTTTTTCCCAGCTCTGTGCTACATCAAGTCCGATTCCAGTGGCAGCAAGAACAGGATTGTGGGAGCTGTCCCCGCTGTTCTCACCAACAAAGTACACCATAGTATCAGTGATGATTTCAAAACAGTGTGGGTTGCTGCCTTGTGAAATGTTTGTGAAATCTTGTGGCGAAGATATGCGTAGAATTTCTGAAAGTGGAATTTCCTGAAGTAAAAAATTAAGCATTAGAAAATACAAAACTTCTTTTTCTATTTTTAGTACAATAAACAATCTAGTACAATAAACAATCCAATATGCATTTATAATAAATGCTTTAAGATGAACACAAGTATATGGCCCATGGAACACAAAGTCAAGTCTTATGATAGTATCTTCCTTAAATGATCTGCATGTCCAGTGAGGCCAGAGGCAAAAACATGCAGTATCACTACCAGTGATTCAGGCCTATTGCAAGTCATTAGAATCTAAGGAAAGAGAGAAGACAGGAAGCCAACAGCCACTATATTCAATACTTCCCAATTGTCATTAAATTAACTCAACAACTACTTCTCTACCGGCTGCTGTCTGCAAAATGCAGGGTGGGGCAAAATTAGATTTACAGTTGTTCATATGGAAAATAATACAATAATTAATATTATAAGAATAAATTCTGTTTCACGTACTCAAAACCGTAAACCTATTTTTTGCCACCCCCACCTTATCCCCAAAAGGAGTACCAAGCAGAAGTAAGAGCAGCAAATTCGAATGTCAGTATACGTTGCTTAAACACTCCATTTGGTTCTGTCCATTCTGTAACAATCATTTATATTTAGTCCACTTTATAAGGCAAAAAAGTTATTAACCCCCCCCAACTAACTTTTAAGTCAATTATTTCTACTCTTCCTTACTGATACAATCGCCACACTTACAATCTTTTTATTGTCAGTCAGTGACATGGCAAAATGTGGAACAAACCTAGGAAAGAATACTATACAAAGTGTATGAAGAGACAAAAGAAGCATTTGGGAATTGGGACCTCAGGTAAAGTGGAAGGAGAGAAACCCCGACTCAATACCATGCTGGCCTGTTCTGGACAGGCCACGATCATGTGAGTTTCTAAACAGTTTAATCTGTCATAGGACCAGAAGTAAAGCAGCAGCAACATGACAGGAAAACCAACAACAGACACCACAACAGAAAGACACACTTTGGCAGGAGAACTGTTGTGGGGGTGACATGGACAGGTGGGGGACAGGCACTTCAACAAGGAACTTCCATAAACTAGACTAGGCAAAGTCAGGAAAGGAATATTCCAATATAACAACTAATGAGTATTATTTAGATATATTTGGAAAACATAATCTTTTAATGTACATATTTTTAAAATGTAGAATCTTTACCTTATAATACTTTGATCCAGATTCATTTTGAAACAATGTGAGACATTTGCTGTCAAGTCTCCAATAATGCCTCTTTCTCTATAAAATAAATATAAAAATGTGAAGTTCAAAAATAATAATTCCTCCAAAGCACTTTTCCTTTCATTCCTATTCGTACATTTGTATTATTTAATAGGTTTAAAATTCGTGAGGTTCAACATTCTGAAAACATATAAAAGATGTATAGTAAAACCTTGGTAAAATGAACTAATTCAGACAAGGAGTATCTGGTAAAGCCAAAAAGCCCATTATATAATAAAGTAGTTTTACCAAATGCGTATGTTAAAAAAATTGACAAATTTGTTTATCTGTTTTTACTTATGTAGTCATGTTTGTGTAATTAAAATTAAGTATGTATAAAAAGTTTAATTTCACATAAAAGTTTTATGAATGTATAACTGTAATTTAAAATTTATACTGAAGAGGTTTGTAAATGCATGCATTCATCAGTCGCCTTGAGTATACAAATGTACAGTTGGGGCATGGCTTATTGCACATGGGAACATAGGCTGGCACATATTAAAACTGCTGCAGAAAGTCACGCCACAGGACAACAGAACCAATTACCACATGCAATGTGGAGTGATCACATGCTAATCATTTGCTGGAACACCTTTTACGAGTGGCGACTCTTGGATTTAAATATGTAGACTATCGTTGTAGATATGTAATATATATTTACGTTGGTGAAATTGATAGTGTTTTTTTCCAATATGTGGCCTATTCAACTAAAATTTGTTTAAAATAACAGTGAATAAATAACAAGAAATATAACCTGTTAATTTAACTGCATGCAAATCTTAGTTAAAAGCATTTTAAAATTAATAGGGAGTTATTTTCACAAATGACATATGGACTGGAAATTATGTCCGTTAAATCCAAAGTCTGTTAAATTGAGGTTTACTCTATCATGAAAAGCATACTCCTACCATCGCTCATATACTGTTCCTACCCTTATGTGTATGCAGCAATGTTACCAGGCTTTGGAAATCCTTTTAGAGAATGCTATGCATGCACACACAAATACGTGTGCATTACACACGCAGACATGTAATTTACCTATCGGCTACATTTCTAAAGATTGGCTTGCTGGGTCATGAGGTAAGAGCACATGTAATTTTGCTAAACATTTGATCCAATTTAAAGGCTAATCAGCAACATGAGTGCCTGTTCACTCACATCTTCACAAGTGCAGTATGTTACGAAACCTTTTGATTTTTGCTAAACTGATATCAATAGAAACTGGCATTCATTGAAATTTTAAATTGTCCCTTAGATTGAGCTCTTATGTTTAAGAGAAACTTGTATTTCCTGGTCTTTGAATTCTGTTCACTGGCTTTTCACTTAGGAATACGTATTTAGGGTTCCTCCATGCTTTTCATGGCATGGTAGCTCACTACTTTTTCAGGCTGTGTACTAGTATTTCATTGTCTGGATGAACCACAGTTTACTTATCATTCACCTACTGAAGATCACTTGATTGCTTCCAAGTTTTGACAATTATAAGTGAAGGTACTATAAACACCCATATGCAGGTTTTTATACGGACATAAATTTTCATCTTAAGTGGCTGTAACATTTTGCACTCCAATCAACAATGAATGGAAGTGCCTGTTGCTCTCTATCTGGGGTGGGGAACATACAAAGCTCACCAAATCATTTAGACTGGCCCTGTCAAGGCATTAGGAGTGAGTTAAGTATTTCACCAAATACAGCAGGCTAATTTTTAAGTAGATAATTCTGTATGGCCTGCAAATGATGTTATAGATATCCAAATGGCCCTTGGCAGAAAAATGGTTCCCAACCCTGCTTTATATCCTTTCCAGCATTTGGTATTGTCAGTGTTCTAGATTTTAACCATTCTACTAGGTGTATAGTAGGATCTTGCTATTTTAATTTTAATTTTCCTGATGACATATAATGTAGAGGATTTTTTTCATGGGCTTATTTTCCATCTGTGTACCTTCGTTGGTGAGGTATATGTGAATGCCCCGTGCTCATTTTTTAATCGTGTTTTCTGTCTCTTGAGTTTTAAGAGTTTTTTGCATATTCTGGAGAATATGTGTTTATCATATATCTCTTTTGCAAATATTTTCTTCTAGTTTGTGGCTTGTCTTTCCCTTCTCCTGATATTGTCTTTCATAGAGAAGTTTTTAATTGTAATGAATCAGCTTATCCATTATTTCTTGCGTAGGTTATACATTTGGTGTTCGTTGCAAGGAGTTATTCTTTAGACCCTTCTGAATCTTTACTGCTCCACCAGTTTGTAAGACAGTACATTAAGCATTCTGCCTTTTAAAAATTCTTTACAAGTATCTATCTCATTCTCATTTTGATTTAAAAATGCACAAAATAAAGCACATAAAGTTGCACTTCCATATTTAAATGCCTGTGATTACTGACCAAGGTGTCCCTGCTGGTGTAATGGACCATCCATCCTTCTTTCACCATCGTGCTGCTCTTCCTCTTTGTATGCTTGATGGATTGTACGACCCTCATTAGCGGAATATTATTGCTTGTTGATGGACTAAAAAACATTTAATATTTATGATAAATATTGGTTATTTCAATGTTTAAAAGTCATGTACATAAGCAAATCCTTTTTAAAGATAATAAGGCAAACAATGGCTTAAGAGGAAAATGAGTGTATCCTCTCAGGCTGATACACAGTGGATCTATAAAAGACTATGATAACACTGTAAGTCCTCATTATTTGTGATATTTTCCAGAGATTGCAAAACATTGAGAACAAGGAACAGAGCAGAAAGAATCCTCTCTAATTAGAAGATCTGGAGCTTGGGAGATGGTCCCATTTGGGATTGCTGTTGAGAAAGCTTCCAGCCCTAGGTAACATGATGTTATTAAATTCACAACCAGGCAAAAGACAAGCATACCAATACTCAAATTCTCATGGTTCAAAGGTCAAATTGCATTGTTCATGTTGTTAGTACTACTTCTAGTAGAAGAGACTGGAAAGAAAATTATTTAAAGATATTAAGAAAACAAATAATGTAATGAGTCAAATTGGATAACACTGAAACATAGGCCAGCTTTAGTGTGGCTGGAGAAAAAGAGCAATTTTGGGGGGGTGTATATATAAAAAACACTGTTTCTGAATTTGAGTCTCAAAGAGTTGAAAAATACTTTCTCTTAAAATTATGAAATATTCATGCTTAGGAAAATAAGTTCTCTCAATAGTCTCTAAATTGGGTAAATAAGTTTTAGTTAAAGATTACGGTAAGACCTGTAATTTAAGGAGAAGCCAAACTGAGTAAATGACAACTCTGCCGTGTGAGATTGATAAATGACCCATCCTTTTCTTTAAATGCCTCTCTGTTGCCTATGAAAAATAAAACCTGCCAAAGCGGTAATATTCTACTAGGAAGTAGTACATCCTTATAGGGCTGTATATACAAAATACTGAATTCTGTTAACAGAGGAGATATTTATGAGGTTTATAATCAAAAGGCATTTTTACAAAGTGCCAAAAGTCAGATTAATGCGGCAGTAAGAAAACTACCCCCAAACTCGTTACTAACATTTTTGTGTAACAGTCTCAGGCATGTATTCTTACCATGTTTCTAACAGCGGCAATCTACGTGCATGAAGGCTGTGAAACTGGTTGCTTTAACTCAGGGGTGGGCAACCTTTTTTCTGCCAATGGCCATTTGGACATTTATAACATCATTCAAGGGCCATACAAGATTGTCAACATAAAAATTAGCCTGCTCTAAATGGCCACACATTTAATTAACTCACCCTGAATGCCTTGGCAGAGCCAAACCAAATGATGTTGCAGGCCTTATACTGCCCTCGGGCCAGATATTCCCCATCCCTGCTAACCTGGTGGTTTAATGTTAGTGCTTTGTGAGTGCTGCTCCACATTTAAATAAAGCATTTTTGTCTTTAAGAAATCAGAATTCTCCTATCTTTCTATCTTGAGTGGATGGCAAAAGTAATTTAACTTATGTCAGAAATACTGTAGTGCATGTAAAAGAATTAGCCACAATTTAATTAGAGTTTAAATTACATTTTTAGTCCACATAAAGAGATTAAGTGGAAAAGTGGAGCTCCGATTTTCTTCATTAACAGGCCTCCTGGACCCACCCTGGCTAAACGTGTCTTACCTGATTGTCTTCACAGCTTCTTCATCTCTTTCCACATCGAGATCAGATGGATCCAGGAAAAACATTTTATCTTCTGGGGGAGATGGTTCTTCCGTGTCGTCCAAACCCCTACTACCATCACTGTTCATGTCACTGCTGTCAATATCCATTGGTATATCTGACTCTGTTCCCAGACTGGAAGGTTCTGGCAAAAATTTAAATGAATTAGTTTTACACTAATGGGATATCAATACATCCAAACAGAAACAGTATATTAAATGTGGGGGGAAAGTTTTAAAGTTCTTTAAATAATCAGTAAACATTTGAAAGATGCTCAAATTCACCTTTCAAATGTTTACTGATTACTTAATCAAATAACTCATTAGTACACAGATAAACATATATTAAAATAAATATAAATAGTACTTCATATCCATTTGACGACAGTAGTAAAATGAGAAAAATACATGAAAAGATTTCAGTAATGTAGAAAAATAAGAAAATTGATCATGCTCTGTCGATGTTTTAAACAGCAAGCATAGAAAACATGCCTTAAGAAAAAATGTTAAACTCTTAAGGAGCTGTATAATTTCATCCCTTCTGCTTTTCCTCCTACAAAACTACTTACATTCAATTTTTACCAGTCATGGGAATATTAAAGAAAAGTTATGCTGAAAGTGTAGTCATTACTCTTTCCTTCCAAAAATGATAATCACTTTATTAATAGTCTTAAAAGGAGAGGGGAAAAAAGGCAAAAAGGGGAAATGTTTAGCTAATGATTACTTGATGGAGAAAAGAGACAGTGAGGCTGTACAATATGTTCTAATAACTATGGACTAAGAAGCCAGACCATATGGATTCAAATCCCAACTCTACCACTGATTGACTGTATTTCATGGACAAATTATTTAATATCTTTGTGACTAAGTTAACTCATCTGTAAATATTTAACATCAAAGGGATGTTCTTAAGTTTAAATTTCAATATTTGTAAAGAGCTTAGAACAGTACCCGGCGCACAATAAGCAGTGAATAAATATTAGAACTATGAAACAGTTCTAGGGATAACAACAGGGTGTTCTTTTGTGTGTGTGTGTGTGTGTGTGTGTGTGTGTGTGTGTGTGTGTTTTAACAACAGGGTTTTAAAGTAAGTCTTTTTTTATCTAAAGATGAAATGAGATATGCAGCACTATTAGCTATAATAGACTCTAAAGTTGTAGGTAGTTAAAGGAAAGATGGGAAGATATAATTACTAATAAAAGTATACCATTACTGATCTCTGAATCTTGCTTGCTTATTAAATCAGAAAAAGAAGTCAAAGTTAAAAACAGACTAAAATATGCAAATATAACCATATACAAAGATAATAAACAAAAGAATTATGGCCTTTCCTAATCTTTTATAAAAATTAAGAAAAAGAATTTTACCTCCATTGAAAGTAACCTCTCCAAGGCAGTCTCTTGGCACTTTTGATGCACAGCGTTTATGGCAGTTGAATTTGCAATCTAAAATAACAATATTCAGCTTAATTTATGTAAAAAGTTAGGTAATATCAGATATGACTCAAGACTTTCTTTAAATCACTCACAGAGGATTAGAAATGACAATGCTGAATCAATGAAGTTTTCCTCTACTAAGAACTAAGGTCTTGGACTATAGGTCTAGTTTCAAATTCTGAGGCCAACTCTCGAACAATTTAACTCCTTGGGGCTTAGTTTCTTTATCTGTAAAATAAAGTTAAAATGCTGGCAAGTCCATGTTTCCTTCCCTTACCTCACATTCCTTTCCAATACACGTTAGTCCTTACTTTCAATTTCTAATTATTAGTCCTAGTGCATATGCAGAAAAGAGACTAAGATTTCACAACCAGTTATTAGAAATGAGTGCACATACAACCTTGTAAGGAAGAACTGAGCTTCTCATGTACGAGGTCTCCCACATACACATAATGTTTCTTTAGCCTGTAAGAACTTCAGTTGATAGCATTGCAGATTACTGTGAGGTACAAGCGGTTCAATACTACTCTGTAACACAGTGGTTCTCAAACTGCGATCCCAGACCAACAACACAAGCATCATTTGAGAACTTGCTAGAAATGCAAACTCTTGGGTCCCACTCCAGACTACATCAGCAGCTCTGGGAGTGGGGGCTGAGAGGTGTTTTAATAACTTCTTTAGGGCCGAAACCGGTTTGGCTCAATGGATAGAGCGTAGGCTTGGGGACTGAAAGGTCCCGGGTTCGATTCTGGTCAAGGGCATGTACCTTGGTTGTGGGCATATCCCCAGTAGGGGGTGTGCAAGAGATCGATGACTCTCTCTCATAGATGTTTCTAACTCTCTATCCCTCTCTCTCTTCCTCTCTGTACAAAATCAATAAAATATATATTAAAAAAAATAAATAAATAACTTCTTTAGGTGACACTAAAATTGAAACCCACTGTTCTAACTACTTTATAACACTACCCTAGAATACATCTATCAGCAATAACTGGGTTAAAAAAAAATAATTTCAAGTCCTGACTTAAAAGAAAAAGTGCCATGAAAATAATAATTTGGTGGATAATAACATTTTCATCATATTACACTGTCTTTTTAAATGAGAGGCCCTGAGAAAAATTTCATACATATTAATATCTTGCATATATCTTAAATAATAATTCATTTTTTATCTCATAAGTTTGCAAATTGTAAAAAATAACAAGGTTTCCTTTTGAAAATGTAAAGCCAAACTGGTAGCCCATCTATAGCAAGTGATGTAGGTACTAATGGCAGGCATTTTTTTCTCTCTGTATCCCTATACGTTTTATTAATTTGTTTATGCTTATATTTTACTAGAAGCTTGGTGCACGAAATTCGTACACTGGAGGGAGGGGGGTTCCCTCAGCACAGCCTGCATTCTCTTGCAGTCTGGGAGCCTGTGGGGGATGCCTGTCTGAGTGCTTAGGCTCGCACCCCAAAGGGATTGGGCCTAAGCTGGCAGGCAAACATTCTTAGTGCAGCTTTGGAGGCAAGAGAGGCTTCTGTCTCAGCTGCTGTGCTCACCATCCATGAGCCTGGCTTCTGGCTGAGACGCTCCCCCTGTGGGAGCACACTGACCCCTGGAGGTCAGTGCACGTCATAGCAACCAGTCGTTCCACCGTTTGGTCGCTTTGCATATTAGCCTTTTATTATATAGATTATTATATAGAATATGCTCTAAAGTTGCCTTGCCGTTTTAATATATAAAGTAAAAAAATTAAAAGAAGTGAATAAATGAATACTGTTCTTGGAATTGTATTTTTTTCCTCAAGTAATCCAGCATAAATGTTTTATATTTTCTTAGCTTGAATAATGAATGAAAACGATAACTATATTACTTTTTAAGCATCTTAATTCATATTATAAAAATAGTATTATAAAAATACTAGGTGCTGGCAAGTGTGGCTCAGTTGGTTGAGCATTGTTGGTGCACCAAAGGTTCTTGTCTTCGATTCTTAGTCAGAGCACATACCTAGGTTTTGGGTTTGATCCCCAATTGGGGTGTGTACAGGAGGCAACCAATCAATGTTTCTCTCTCAAATCGATGTTTCTCTCTCTCTCTCCGTCTCCCTTCCTCTCTCTAAACTCAATGAAAAAAGAACATATCCTTGGGTAAGGACGAAAATAAATAATAAAAAAATATAAGAACCACTAAAGTAAATTTTGGTGGTTTTTGATTGATAATCAAAATAATTAGAAATATAACCTACTACTTTCTGAAACAATATAATCACAAACATTATTCTTTTAGAGCTCTGAGAAGTTAAATTAATAATCTAGTGGCAGAGTTAACTGGTTATTTCAAAGTTCATTAATCTACATATTTATTTCAGTTCCTCTATAAAATATTGGTTTTAGAATGTTTCTGTTCTGCTGAGCAGAACAGCACTATTTTCTCCCTTTTCTAAGATTATCTGCTGGCTAGAATTTGTACATCTGTTATTAATGTTCTTTCCCAAAACATTCCTCAGTGGCTGCTTGCCAACACACTCTAGTGTTGATATTCTAAAGTATTAACATATATTAAATTATATTCAAAACTAAGCTGTTGAAATAAAATTTCAACATGTAATTATGCCTGCTTGATGCTTGTTAAATACTTGACAACAATTATACAACCTGTTCTCTATTTGATGCTCTCCTATGCTGTCCCATTGTTACCAAGAAAATCTTTCTTTTCTTATATATTTGTTAAATTTATATACAATTATTTGTGTACTGTAAACAGGATTTATTATTGCAAAGATCTCAAACATAATGTTTATTTAGATAAAACTGATTTAATTTCACAAATACTTTTATTATATAAAAAAAGTATGGTATCAAGAACCGTTAAAATAGTCACATGAAAAATAAGTACATAAGATTTTAGAAAGATTACTTGTTGTATCCTGGCTTAATGACTAATAACACATTCAAACTATTTTGGTTTTCACAGTATTATACAGCATTGCTGAGAGAGATGACATTTTTAAAAAAGATAAAATAATTTTAGAAAATATAAAAACATATAACTCTACAGGAAAAATTATTTTATTTTCCTATTAAAAACCTAGTTCATTTACAGATGTTTTTGGAATACTATGATAGTGTTTTGGATTAGTATCCAAATATGGTAGCTCCTATTATAAGTGGCTCCTACTATATTCCACCTATTTCAGGAATGACAGTTTTTGTACAATTTTCCTAATTACATAATTAATAAAAAATAACAACTCTTGTAATGTGTGTGTATGAATATTTAATGGAAAAAGGAAATCATTACTTTACATCTTAGGTAGTTATCTGTTTTTGGAATTAGAAAGACTTAATTAAGCTTAAATATCAGCTTACCTGCTTACTAACTGTTCTATATTTGCAAGTGTTAAGCAGCCATAGTTCAGAGATCCAAATACTAATTTTTCTGTTTATATACTAATTTTTCTTTAGCACAGTTCCTGGTACATAGTACATATATTTCAGATAGTAGTAGTAGTTTTTAACCTGTGTATCTTCTTTCTTTTTTAAGATAACAACTACAAGATCAATTTCTTTGTTTAATGCTTCTAAATATAAGTATTGTAAACCTGTATTTGCTAATACAGATACGAATTTTACTGAAGAAGAACATCCAGTCCTACCTTTGCACTGCATCCCCTGGCGGAAGAGTCCTTTCAGTAGCCGCTTGCAGTACTGACAGATCGTGGGGCGGGTGTAAGAGTGAACGGCAAACGTGTGCGGGACCTTCACTCTGCACATCACCATCTTCTCCATCCAGATGGGGCGACCGCTCCAAGAAGGAATTCTCTTACTTGGTTCTTGGTGAACATGTGACTAAAACATAAGTAATTTCCATACATATAAGTCAATATTAAAAAAATATATTAAGAGCTCGGTTTGACCACAAAAGTCATTTTTTTAAACAACACAGCCCAAACTCAAAAATGTGGATCTCAGCAGTTTGCTTTGGAAGCTTAACTGGCCAACTCTTGAAGGAGAAAAAGAGCAAAATTTCTTTGCTATTTATGATTTTTAAAAAAAGGGTGTTTTCATTCTCACATGCACAGATTCACTGGTTAGCTATTATTTGCCAAGTACACATGGCATTTTTCAAATAAAACACAAAAGCCTTGAAGTCAATTTATAACAGATGTTCAAATCCCTCCAAAAATCTTACCAAGGAATTAATCATGGGAAAAGAAAAAACAAACAAAACATATATATATATATATATATATAAAATAATAAATAAAAAGAAAAATAAATAAATAAAAAGAAAATCAAATAAATACAGAAAGTGTTATTGATATTCATGTTAAATAACTGAACACAATGTCTGAAAACATTTCAAAACGAATTACTTTTTCAAATTTATTTTAATACTAAAATATGTGTGTAAAAATTTCAGTTTAATTAATGATGATATACATAATGGCAGATATAAAACTAATTAAAACAACTTTACCTCCAGTAATTATGTTTTATGAAGATCCTTGATATTTAAATGTTTTTCAGTTATTTACACTTTTTCTTTTTTTGAGCAAGAAAAATTAAAGGAGCTGATTAAAAATTTTTGTGTAACATGAGGAATAAGTGGATTTTTGCAACTATGGCTCTTTCTATATATTCAAAAGAAATAATCATATTAAATTATGTCATTTCATTGTGGCTCATTCCATTCAGTCAATGTTCATTGATTACTATAGGCCAGGCCTGATACAATGTATGTGGATATAAAAATGAATATAGTCCATGTTTCCAAGCACAAAACCAAATACCTAACTACCTCCTAGATATATTACACATTTTGTTGTAGCTGCTTGCAGCTTCACTGCTAGAACTGAGGTCCTGAGATCTTTCACATGCTTTCTATAACTAGTCATGTCTATAATTCAGAAAAGTTGAGTTATTCTATATTGATATATTCAACCAACAGAAGGAAAAGAAACTAGAAGAACCAAGAGATAGAGAAGGGAGAAATAAAAGGAGAGAAAATTTTTTTTTTGAAGAAAGTAGGAAGAAGAAAAAAGAAAAGCACAGCTGAGTGGAGGAGAACACTGTAAAAATAATACAAATATAGCCTCTGATGTATAGTTTTCCACTAATGTGTAGCCAGAAAGTTTCTAAAATGAATTATGGAGTAGTTTAAGAAAAGTACAAAAAGAATGTTAAAATCTAAACCAAACTTGTATGCTTAATTTGTCCAAGGTGTCCTGCTCTAGTCTGCCCCCCCCACGTACACACGCCCTTCATCCATATGCTATGTGTGGAGCACCTTCAGCAAAAGGACCACCACAGTGATTCTGCACAGCTAACAAAGAAGCCAACAGGAACCAGAAACAGATGTTTTAGGCCTTTGTTCATCCTCGGCTCCCTATTCTAGTGGTGACTCAACACTACTTCTTGCTCCTGATTCCGCCACTTTTCAGTGTGTCTCAAGTTTAAAACACCCAAGATGGAATAAGACTAATTTAGCAGGTCATCATCAAATGTATTGAGATATCCCTATAAGGAAGAATCTTCTTAACACATCCCTTCATGACATAGAGACCAAAAAAACAATACAAAAGATCAAAGAAACCAAGAGCTGGTTCTTTAAAATGATAAACAAGATTGATGAACCTCTAGCCAGGCTCACCAAGAAGCAAAGAGAGAGGACCCAAATAAACAAAATCAGAAATGAAAGAGGCGAAATAATAATAGACCCCACAGGATTACCAAGGATTGCTAAAAAATACTATGAACAACTCTATTCTAACAAACTAGACAACCTGGAGGAAATGTACATATTCCTAGGATTCTAAAAATCTCAATAGCCAATAACTATGGAAGAAACTGAAGCAGTCAACCAAAAGCTTCCAGCTAGCACATCCCTTCATATGCCAATGGCCAGTTAGTGATTGCCTTTTGTCAGGCCCTGCTGGGACTGCAGTGTTTGGGACAGAGTACAGAGCAGGGTGCAAGGACTGTGCCACAGCAGGGGGTCTGGCACATGGGCACTTAGGAGACTCTTACTGGGTAGCCATTGAGAGTTAATTCCTCTCTATCCTAGGTTCAGATTTGAGGTTGTTTTCCTCTTCTCAATGCCATCTCCTTTATTCCTAGAGTGTCCTCTTTTCCCACTCTTCCTTCCCCGATTTTCCTCCCTGAGTTCTCTTACTATACCTCCTTCCTTTTTGAGACTGCATGCATGGACTGACATTTCACTCTACAATTTCCACCTGTTCTAAAATACTCCGCACAATCTAATCAATTCAAACATATACTCTACTTCTGATACATCCCTATTTTACATTTTCATCTTCAGGGTAAAATATAAACTCATTAATTACAATGCAATGCCTTATTCATCTGCTCTGTCCTGTTATTTCCTAATCTAGTAATTCCAACTAAGGGTAGCTGGCAGACCAGTATCATTTGTAGGACTCTTAAAAAGAATGTATCTCTATCCTATAGTCCCCATTCCTAGCTACGTTTCCTGTGCAGTTCGTGTATAAAATGCACTAGCTTTGCTATTACCAATCTTTTCCCAAGCTCTTGCATATCTTTATAACTCACTATTCTCAGTGTCTTATGCAATAGCAGTCCTCTACTTTAAAAATCTCAAACTAGGGCTAAGCAATATAGAAATATGGGATTTTTTGTGAAAAAATTTCAGGAGCTTTTAGTCTGATGCCTCAGTTTACACAATACAGTGTGGCTAGGACATCAAGAAAATAGCCTAAAGGCTTAATTTTAGCATTAATTTACAGGAGACCAAAGGGATTATAGAAGCAACTAAATTATGAATGGAAATCATTTTAAGTACTGTCAAATGAACAAGAAAGTTATTGCTTTCTTCCCTGATCCTCTACCTTTATACTTGAGGGAAATAATATATAAGAAAAAGTCACTGATTTAAAAATAACCAGTTCTACCCAGCCGGCGTGGCTCAGCGGTTGAGCGTCAACCTATGAGCCAGGAGATCACAGTTTGATTCCTGGTCAGGGCACATGCCTGGGTTGTAGCCTTGATCCTCATTGTGGGGCGTGCAGGAGGCAGCTGATCAATGATTCTCTCTCATCATTGATGTTTCTTTCTCTCCCTCCTCTCTGATATCAATAAAAAATATACTTTTTTAATTTTTAGGGGGGAAAAAATCGGTTCTGGATTTAGTTCTAAGAGCATTTACTGATTTGCTCTGACTTCAGTGAAGTCACCTGACTATTCTGAGCCTCAACTGTCCTATGGCATACAGATGTACTGCTCTACCTTACTGGGATGCTGTGAGGATCGGTGGGGGCACTCACACATTCATTCATCGCTGAGTATAACTGCTAAGTGCCAGGGATTGTGCTGGTCATGGAACTGAGCATTGCTTTCTTTAAAGAGATCATAAATTCCTTGAGGACAGCATACCAATACTATACACACCATTAGGAGGTCTGAAAAGTGCTATGGCATTCAGAAAACAAAATAACTTCTATGTAGTGAGGGGGAAATCAGGAAAGGTAGCTGTTGAGTGAGGCCTAGAAAAAACATGTAGAACAGAGAAGAACAAAGGTAGGAGGAGCAAGGATGTGTTCAGGGAATGTTGAATAGTGCAGATGTCAGAAACATAGGCTATATAAAAGTTTTCTAGTCGGGAGTTGTGTATGAAGCTGTAATGTGATAAGGTGGTTCGTGTGTAGTATGAAGCAAAGTATGGAGAGCAGGTGTCAGGATACTGGCCAAGAGACTAATGCGGTGCGGTCCAAGTGATGGTGTGATCCCAAAGTATACAAAATGCAGCTCATTACTATTGATAAGCCCTGTCTCCGTAACACATTTTAAGCTTAACTGTAAGAATCTTACTGTTCTTTAGCATAAAACTTATGTTCTAAAAAATGATGTCATATACCCCGTACCACCTAAGGAATACCTAGTACAGCACCATTCTATTACCTTAAATACGTACCTCTTCAGTGGGGAGGGCAACATATTCTGTTTGTAGAGGTCTTGGGACTGAGAGGCTAGGTCCTGGCAGAGATACATTTGACAGACGCCTCTTTCTTACTCCACTACAGTTATTTGGAATCTTGAAGGCACAACGTTTATGATAATTTAATCCACAGCCTAAATATATTTTAAAAGGTTAAAAAAAAATTAAGAACCCAGACAACAGGCTAAATGGAAGCTAACAAATTAAAAAACAGGAAATGTGTAAGCAGGTTTATTTAAAAGGATCACGTTAGTGAAATGGTAGTTCTTGAGCTGTGGTCCCCAAGTATGGCATCCCCTGAGAATTTATTAAAAATGTAAATTACTGAGCTCTACCCTAGACCTACTGAATCAGAAACTAGCAAATCAGTCCTTGAGGTGATTCTGATGCATGGTAAAGTTTGAGAATTATCGGGCTTAAAGCACTTCAACAAACTATGGCCTGTACCAAATCCTTCCCAAGACATTTGAAAATTATATGAAGAATTTTATTGGAACACAGCAATATAACATGCTCAATTTTCTTTCACACTATAAAAGCAGAGTTAAGTAGTTTCGATAGAGAACATATGGCCAGCAGACCTTAAAATATTTACTCTGGCCCTTTACAAAACAATTTCATTGATCATTCACTTTACAGTTTCTTAAACAGAATTCGGAACCTCATCCTGTTCCCTAGCAATTATAATTTATAACAACTTTTTTGTTGCATGTAAAACATTGTTTTAAGAAGAGAATAAGGAAGTTAATATCATTTAGCCTCTATTTAATGCCAAGAATTTTACCCGTATCACCTCATTTAACTATAATATTTGCTCTTCATGAAACCAGTAGAGAATATATTTTGCAGAGAAATGATCCTAAGAGGTTTAGTAAGATGCCCAAGGATAGGACCCAATAAGTGGCAGAGGAAAGACCAAAGTCTAGATCTCTCCGATTCTAAACCTGGGTCACTACATAGTCACCAACTAATGATCTTATTCTTTCGTTGATGATTAGAGAATGCAAAAGTGAAATCCTATTTCAAATGATATAACATTTAGAACACATACCTTCACATTTTAGACCCTGACGTACCAGTCCCCAGAGCATCTCACCACAATAATCACAAAAAGTAGGAGCTTTGTAAGAATGTACATAGAGAGCATGTGGACGAATCTGGAAGTCTTCTACTGTGGCCAAAGCTTTAAAAAAAGAAAATATGAAAATAAACCTTATTATACTTATACTTGCTATGAGCTTAGGAATGTTGGTCAAAGTATAGAATCATTTTTTTCTCTGAAAGTTTCATCTGACCATAAAAATAAAATATTTTTAGCATCTAATACTGTGGCTTTTTAACTCGATTTTAGGAAGTTCATCAGCTTCAATTAATCTCAACTTCAAAAGCAGGTCCTATAGGTAGATATTTTGACCTCCAAAAGCCTTTTCTCAAAGTGACAAGCCTGGATTTTAAGCAGCTGTTAGATCTATTTTAGCCAATTAAAACGGTTTAACTTAAAATACACCGAGAAATAGAATGCTAAAGTAAAACCAAACAAATAAATAAATAAATTTGTGGAACCTGACCTCAATTTATACCAATGTTCCTGTAAGAAATGTACTCAGTTCTAACTTAAGTTCTCAGGATATGCTTTTGTCTGTTCTCCATAGTCCTAGGTGGTTAAGAAAGAGTCTCCTTTCTCCTCTATAAGCAGATGAGCAGTAGACACATCTACCAGAAAACATCATCTCACCTACACCTGAAGTCATTAGTATCCACAGTGGCCTGATGAAGGGTCTGTAACAAAGCAGGATTGGATGTGAACATGACCTCCAGAGAGGACAGGGAGTACAGCTCCTCCAAAGTGAAGAGGAAGACAAGGCCTAAGAAGTGTACAGATGATTGGGGCTGTGGTACAGCAGAGGAATGACAAATGTAGGTACTAGATGAACTGGAGGATCAGGGACTAATAAGGAAAGGTGATGCTCAGAGAGGATCTCCAAAACGGGCTGCAAAAATGAGCTTGAAGAGGAAAAACTGGTGGCAGGACTCTGGACTCGGCTGGCTTTCCTTTCTTTCCTTCCCTTCCTTCTTCATCTCTTCCTTCCGTTCCTGACTCTCATGCTTTTCCTCCCTCCCTCCCTCAGGCCCTGCCAAACAATGCGTTTTGCAAGCCTACTACCCTGTTTCCCCGAAAATAAGACAGTGTCTTATATTAACTTTTGCTTCCAAAGATGCGCTAGGTCTTATTTTCAGGGGATGTTTTATTTTTCTATGAAAAAGAATATGGTACACATTTATTGTTAAATGAAAATAAAGGAAATTTATTACCTGTATACGGTACGGTAGTATGGTAGTTGTCAACACAAACCAGACAAACTGTGAATCCTACGTATCAAGAATTTACTCATTTATTCAATGACAATCATCATCATCTTCTGGAACATCATCATAACAATCCAATTCCTGAATTTCCTGGTGAATTTCTTGTGACTCCATTTCTTTCAGAATCAGTGGACCAAATCTCTCATGTTTAGCAATAGCATCCTGAGACAGAGCCTAGGGGGGGCCTTATTTTTGAGGGGATGCCTTATATTTCACTCAGAAGGAAACCTGTAAGTAGGTCTTATTTTCGGAGGATGTCTTATTTTCGGGGAAACACTGTATATACATTCTTTGTTCCTTTACACTCCTCACTAACAATCCTGCCTATTTGTTACTGGATGAAATCTGAAATCACAGGAGCTAAGGAACAATGAATGGCAAGAATGGATGAAAGACGGAAAGGAGGTAAAAAAATGTCCACTGAAGACAAGGAAAGAAGCATTATTTAAATCATGGAAACACTCAGCATTGCAGTTGCCTCTTCCACATCTTCATTACTTCTCTTATTTTTCTCATTTTCTTTTCTGAACTCTTTACAAAAATGGGAAAAGGGGAATAGAATTTTAGTGTAATTATTTTATTTCTTTGGCTCAAAGACGAGTATACTTCTCTTCTAGTTCAATTGATAATCCTCTTAGCTTAGTAATACTCAAGTAATTCAAGGCTTACCTATGTTCCTAGTTTCTAATCTATGATACAATCTATCTGAAAGTAAAAATTATGTGGTAACCATTATTGAAAGAATTAAGCAACTATAGTACAAAAGCAAAGTATGATGGAACATAGCATTTAGTTGGGGAAAGTAAAATGGGGGGGATGACAAAAGTAAAAGAAGCTATTTACTTACCTGAAAGAACAACTTCAACTAGGTCTCCTTCATGTATTTCATCTGCTGAGGTAATCAGCTGCAAAATATTTTCTGAGTTCATGTCATGGCGAAAGAGAAGAATTTTATCATACATGCCAAAGAATCCACATTCCGGAAACTGCAAGAAAATAGTCTTATATCAGTATACACATAGCTTTCTGCTTTTATAAGTAAACTAGAGGCTCAGTGCACGAATTCACGCAAGGCAACAGAAACCATCAATAAAACAACAAGAAAGACCATTTCATGGGAGAACATTTGCCAATGTTATTTCCGATAAGGGTTTAATCTCCAAACTTTATAGGAAACTCATACAATTTAACAAAAGAAAGATAAACAATCCAATCAAAAAATGGGCAAAGGATCTAAATAGACACTTTTCAAAAGAGGACATACAGAAAGAAATATGAAAGAAAACATGCTCAAAATCACGAATCATCCAAGAGATGCAAATCAAAATGACAATGAGATACCATCTCACACCTGCCAGAATGGCTATCATCAACAAATCAATAAACGATAAGTGCTGGTGAGGATGTGGAGAAAAATGAACCTTCATTCACTGCTGGTGGGAATGCAGACTAGTGCAGCCACTATGGAGAACAGTATGGAGTTTCCTCAAAAAATTAAAAATGGAACTCCCATTTGACCCAGTGATCCCACTTCTAGGAATATATCCCAAGAAACTAGAAACACCAATCAGAAAGGATATATGCAACCCTATGTTCATAGAAGCACAATTTATCATAGCCAAGATTTGGAAACACCCTAAGTGCCCATCAGCAGATGAGTGGATTAGGAAACTGTGGTACATCTACACAATGGAATACTATGCTGCTGAAAAAAAACAAGGCATTCTTACCATTTGCTACAGCATGGATGGAACTGGAGAGCATTATGCTAAGCGAAATAAGCCAGTCGGAGAAGATAAATATCACATGATCTCACTCATTTGTGGAATAACATGAACAACAGAAACTGATGAACAAAAATAGATCCAGAGACACAGAAGCAACAAACAGACCATCTAACCTCAGAGGGAATGAGGGGGGTGGGAGAGGGTGTAAGAGATCAACCAATGGACTTGTATGCGTGCATATAAACATACCCCATGGGCATAGACACTAGGAGGGTGAGGGCTTGTGCTGGGGGTGGGAATGGCTAAGGAGAGTCAATAGGGGGAAAAGGAGACATATGTAATACTTTAAACAATAAAGAATTTAAATTTTAAAAATGAGAAAAAAAATCCCAAAACATATCCTTAGGTGAGAATTTTAAATATAATAATAAAGTCACAGAACCTATCAATAATGTTAAGTGAGGATTACTGTATTTAGTTTATTTCCCTAGGGCAGCTGTTCTCAACTGGAGCAATATTACTCCCCCCTACCCCCCAGAAGATATGTGGCCATGTCTTGAGACACTTTTGGTTATTACAACCTGAGAGGTCCAGCAGCCAATGGAGAAAGGCCAGAGATGCTGCTAAACAGCCTACAATGTACCAGACAGCCCACAAAACAAAACTAACCCAAAATGTTCCTGGTGCTAAAGTTAAGAAACACTACTGTAGAAAATAAGGGAGTCAAGAATATAGAGAGATTGGAAAATGTGGAAGGAAGTTGACAACCTTCTGAAAACGAGACATGCCCATATTTCCATGCCTAGCTTACCTCAGCCTTGATTAAAAGAAAGAGGAAATGAAAGAAACAGCAAGAGCCATCAGGGTAGAAGCAAAATGGGCCTTTAATTTAGCCTCTTTCCAGATTCCCCCAGGCTTCTCTTGATTTGCTTTCTACAGACTGCCAATGACTCCTCCTGACTGTGCAAAATGAATTCCTAGTACATATGGAAAATTAATAGAATTTCATCATGAAGTTATCAAATTCCCACCTATTATAAGCTCTCTTTGCCCACTTCAAATTCTTTCTTTGTTTTTGCATTAAAGATAGCATCATGAATAAAAAACAGATCATTTTATCTTTTAATAACCATTTCAGAAGTTACTTTTTATGGTATGCATTCACATTTATTATAAGTAAAAGGTTCCAATACTTGCAATAAAATTTATCCAAGTAACATTATATATTGAGAATTCTTTATGTGAACAGTTTAAAGTTCATGCCATTAAGCTTCTGTCAGAAAAATGTTAATGAAGCAGGAAGTTTTCAAGTTTTTAATTCTATGTGGTCAAATATAATTTTTACATGTTATCAAAGGAGCTTCAAAATTTACCATTTATCTGAACAAATAACTTACCTCTACACACCTTTTTAAAAAGAGCATGGGCTTTATTCTAAGTACAATGGGCAACCTTGAAGAGTTTTAGTGTACATTTTAGTTGTGTGTTTTTTTAAATTCTAATGAAGTATAAGTGCACTAATCTTAATTAGAAGACAGACTACTACTACTACTACATACACACACCCATTACCACCACCTAGATTAACTATAGAACATTCTCAGCACCACAGATTTCTTTTTTTTCTTTTTTTCCTTAAAAGTATTCTTTTTTATATATATTTTTATTGATTTTTTTTTTTTTTTTTTTTTTTTTTTTTAACAGAGAGGAAGGGAGAGAGATAGAAAGTTAGAAACATCGATGAGAGAGAAACATCAATCAGCTGCCTCCTGCATGCTCCCTACTGGGGATGTGCCCGCAACCAAGGTACGTGCCTTAGACCAACCAGAATCAAACCCGGAACCCTTCAGTCCGCAGGCTGACACTCTGTCCACTGAGCCAAACCGGTTTTGGCCACAGATTTCTTAACATTCATTTAATTTTAGAAGTTGAATACTTAAATCATTTTTTAATCTGATGTCAAATAAATCTTCACAGGACATCTTTCTAATAACTAGATCATAGTAATAAGCTACATAAGGGCAAGGGCATTCTTTTTTCATGTTCCTTACTAAAACCCTAACACCTAGAACTTAGTATTTCACAGGCACTTACTGAAAAAGTTGACTACAGAGCTAATTTAACACTGCTATATTTCCCAGGGACAAATCATTTAACATCATTTTTAGGAAAGTGTTAATTAAAGAATAATTTAAATGATTCTGTTTCTAAATACTGATACAAGGCCCTAGAGTCTATATGAGTCAACGAGAAAATTACTCAACATAACAGTTTATTCTGTACTTTCATCATTAATCTCCAACACAGAATTTTCTGGGTATGACATACCAGAGAAGTGCTTCATTTAACATTTGTTATTTCTCTTTGACACAAACCAGAGCAATCTTTTTTCATTTTCCTTCTTCCTTGTTTTTATTAGTTCTGATTACTTTTAATTCAAACTATCTGGAACTTTTTATCCTAGCCAAGGTCTTAACCTGAATATCCAGCAGAATGTTTTAAAAAACACCACACTTCTTCCAGTTTGAGCCTCCAGATTAGTTACGGTTGCCTAACACTATTTGCTAAGACAAAAAGGACTAGGGTGAAGAGCAGGATGGCGCCTCGCCTCAGTAACCCAGCTGTAGTAGAAGAAATTAGAAAAACAACCCGTAATGACAACGTGTTTCCAGAAAACAAAAGATACAGCTGGGATTTGTGCTCTACTCTTGGCAGGACCTGAAAATTACAGCCAACCGGTGCCTGCAGAGGCAATGCATTCAGAGAACAGGCCAGAACCACTTGCTAATAAGGATACATAAGCAAAGTCTTCAGGTCTAGTGCCATGTACATGGTCAAAACTAAAAAATGCTTTAAATTAGCTCAAAACAGTCAGTCGACTTTAGTTAGAATTATTTCATTTTCAGTAAACACCGTCACTGCTTAAAATGAATTGCTGTCTGGCAATTTCCTTTCTTACCCCAATTACAATTACTATGTTCATTCAACAAATTAACACAGTAGCAGCAGCATCTTAGTAGCAGCGTGTTGGCAATATGAAAGCAAGAAGGTGGGAACTAACATTCACTAACTTTTAATTGACTTTGGCAGGGGGGGTGGGGGGGGTGGGGGTTAGAAACATTGATCACTTGCCTCCTGACTGGGGATCAAACCTGCAACCTAGGTGTGTGCCCTGACCAGGACTTGAACCCACCACCTTTGTTGTAAGGGATGACGCTGCAACTAACGGAGTCACACGGGCCAAGGCTGAGCATAGTTATTATGCATTAGGTACTGTGCAAAGCACTTGTTATAGACAATTCCATTTGATTTCTTCAAAATTCCTAAAATAATCTCAGTTATCTAATAAAATGAACACAAGCTCTATTTTTTATACTTTGTCATATGCTAAACATTAAAATCAAAAGGTAAGAGTAAAGCAATGCCAGCATGTTGGAGGAATGCTATACACGCTTTGGTATTTACTAAAATAAATTTTAAGAACACTACAGGACCAACGGTGTTTCCAGATTTAAACAGACTTTAAAAACGCAACTATTACTACTTGGGGGCACTAATTATGTGCCAGACACTGTATCAAGGGCTTTTCATTTAACAACTATAATTTTAAAATGGAGGTAGATATTATGATCCTACAGATCAGGATCAAAAGTCAAGTGACTTGAAAAAGGTCTATATTCACAAAACATGAAAATGGCAGAATAAATATCATCATCTGAGTCTGTCTCAGCGTCTACTACACTGCTACTTCTTTTTTGGATTAATCTTTTTTTTCTTTTTCTTCTTCTTTTTTTTTTTTTTAACACACGCCAGGAACAAAAACTAGTACAGATTTAAACGCTCATGTAATTTTGACATTGGGAATCCATGCATGAATAAACACTATAAACAGGCAGGGCTTTTGGCTTATTCCCCCAAGCCTGATTTGCTCATTTGTAACATGACTCTCTGGTGTTAGCTCCCAGCAGAGATGTGATCAGCCGGTTTCTGCTTGGCTCCATCCCAGCGCTACCTGCTGCTCTGATCCACGTGCTTTCCTGGTTCTCCTGCTGGCCAGACCCACTAGTTCTTTGGCTGTTATCAGTGTAAAAAGCACTCCTTTTAGCTTATAAACTCCTAGAGGGCAGAGATCCTGTTTGCTGTTAAATTTGTTTTATAAACCAACATGAAAATACAGGAATCTAATATTTATTTATTTATTTTTATAATCCTTGTTTAACTGTATCCATCCATATTCATAATGGACCCAGTCTTAAGTTCAATAACGTTTTCACTTAAGAAGCATTCTAGCACTTAAGAAAGGAATGTAACATGTTTATGTCATATGTATGCTATATATTTTTTGCCAAACACATCCCCATATGACTCCAATATTGGTTCAAATTCAGTTCTCTATAATATTCATATTATGTTGGCTATAACCATAACCCCAATTGTACTGTTTTAATATGTATAAAGTTTACTCTGAATTATCTTTTTGTGAGCTATATCCTGTTTATTTCCTTGGGATCGCCCTAATTTTTCCTGGATTATGATTTTTAAGCTAGTTTCCCAAGAGTTTAATCCATCTGACCTACTTCTCACATCTATATTAATGAAATGTTAATTCTAAAATAATTCTTTATAAAATCAGTATACTTCTATATAAATATAAGGAATAAATGAAATTTCCAAAGATTTAAAACTGAATAATACAGACTCTACCAATGCATTGGTTATGAGTTTCTATGAGCTCAAATAAAACTAAATATTCAAGTTAAAATTTTATCTTTAAAGTAAAAAGTACAACCTAGTTGCAAAAATATTTATGAACAAGCCCTGTCACAGTTAATGAAAGGGAAACTAAAAGCAAAGATACTTAAAGACAGGAGATGGTTTTACTGATCCGTAAAACAAGTGGGCTACACTGAAGTAGAAAAGTCACTGTTGAACACAGGAGGTGTAGGTCGTCTTCATAAAGCACATAATATTTGTTGGATTGTTAATTACTTCTACATCAGAAGATAATGACACACTATATACAGCATAAGGAACTGAAACAAAAACAATAAGATGAAAAGCCTGAATCCACATATATTAACCTCACTGATATGATTTTGAAACATAAAGTATACTAATTTATTTGAAAAAAGTTGAAACATACGTTTGGTTCATTAAAAATAAAAAGAAACCAATTTATGCCACCTATCTACATATAGTTTTATGATAAAACTAAAGGCCTGGTGCATTAATTTGTGCATGGGTAGAGTCCAGCCAGCTGGCCCTGATGGGGCCCATTGGGCTGGGCCAATGAGGGGAAGGGGCTGTGGCCAGCTAGGGGAAGGGGCCGAGGGCATCTGACTGGCCAGCCCCACCCTTGACCGGGGTACTGGGGGCTGATAGGGGGCAGGACCGGCCGGGGGGTTAGGGGAAGGATGGAGAGAGGAGGGAGCAATTGGCGTCTGGATCAGACTGGTTGGCTGCCGCAATGTGTGTCATAGCCACTGGTCATTCTGGTTGTTCTGCCATTCTGGTCGTTGGGCTTTTATATAGAGAGAAAACATACCAGCCAGCCATCAAAACAAAATTACTAAAGGCATTTAGCTAAGGTTCCTTAAAACATGGCATGATATAGGGCAGGGGGTCAGTGAGTGAGAAACAAAACCATCCTCAACTTTCAAATTTTCATGTATTGTCACATATTCAAACTCATGTACTTGGTTTTTGAAAGACAAAAATAATATGATCTACGCATATTAAATGGCATTTAGATGAAATCAAGATCTAAAGGGAAGAGTATAAAAAAGAGGGCACATAGAAAGACCAAGGGATGGACCTGGGACTCAGCTGCAGCTGTATATGACATCTTGATACCTTGTGCTCTCTACCTATTGTTTTCTATGAAATCAAACGAGATTTCTTAAATTCTCTTGACTTTATGCTGATTTTCCTGCTCTTAAAAGGACAACTGAATAAGCACTATTTTAAAGTTGAGATACAGGCTCCAGTTGTTAGACTTTGAAATTTCAGCCTTTACAGACTCACTAGTGGCCTGGTGCATGGATTCGTGCACACTGAAAGGAAATTAAATATAAGGTAGCTGGTGGGGTGGGACTGGGCTTAACGGGCCAGACATGCCCTGAAGCCAACCTCCCATGGCCCCTCCCCGGCCAGCCACACCTGGGCCTTGGCTCGAAGGTATCTGCGGAGTGAGCGGGGGTCCCTCTGACAGGTGGGGATCAGGCCAAAACTGGCTCTCCGACATCCCCCAAGGGGTCCCGGAATGTAAGAGGGCACTCTGCAAAGTTGCTGTCACTCGGCAGCTCCTGTGCTGAGCGTCTGTCCCCTGGTGGTCAGTGTGTGTCATACCTACCGGCCAGTTAGATAGTCGGTCAGTCGCTTAGCCTTTTAGATAGATAGATAGATAGATAGATAGATAGATAGATAGATAGATAGATAGGTCTATTCGAACTCTTCCAACAATGCTCAGAATTAGGATATAAACAATTAATTCATCCATATGTGTTAATTCATTGGTTCATATATAATTCACAAAAAAGCATTAGAAACAATATTACTTAGAAAAACTATTGACATAAACAGCATGCACAGTACCTTCTGATAAACAATGGAGCACACAAGATCCTTGACAGCAGATAAAGATAGTTCCTGAGCTTCAATGGTAACACTCTCCCGTGTAAGGCCAATTTGCAATAGAAATGAAATTGTATGCACTGAGCCTCTGGAGTTGGTGAGCGACGGGGCACTGAAGCTTCCATTAGAGAGCCGGGCAGAGAGTCCTGTCTTCGGACTCGAACTTGAAGAAGAGGTTGGAAGCACAGCAGGAAGAGTTGCAGGTAATACAGACTTCTGGGCTGATGGAGGGGAATTGTTTGCAGACATCTGCCTTTCTTTAATCTTTTAAAATAGTTGTCAATTCTTTTTCAATGGTTATGGAGAAGCTTTTAAAACCTCAGCAGGAAAAAAAATCTCTGTACTTTTAGATTTAGTTGAAAACTTCTTTATTTCCTCTTTTAAGCTACTCATACTGATGGCTGCAGTTCTACATCTGTGAGTTAAATGCACAAAAGGTCGCTACTTCCCTTAATATCAGGCCCATCAAAAGAGAGTCTAGGCTTTAGGACCACAACCAGGATTTAACATCACTGAATTGTCCTCATCAAAAAAGAGTTGACTGCTTACTTTCTAAGCATCTTCATTTATTTTCTTTTAAGTTTACTCTTGTCTCTCTCTTTAAATTTCAGAAAATTCATACTGAATAAAAATAGTTTTTTTGTCTAGATAAAATCCAACCCTTATAAAAGGTGTTTCAGATTGATTATTTCAGTACTTATCCTTTGGTTCACTGACTGGATGGGATACTTTCTCGAATGTCCACACCTTAAATCACCTTCTCAAAAGATCTCATTTTCATTTTTAGTTGGGGTAAATATTTCCATTATAAAGTACAAAGCTTTTTAAAATAGTTCAGGTATATTTCATTTGATTAAAGGGCCCATCGAGAAAAGTTGATTCTTTCAGAGATGTAGTAAACCTGGAAGAAATTAAAAAACAAAACAAAACAAAAAAAAAAAACTTTTAACATTTTATACTCATTTGACATTTAAAAAATGCAAGAACACCTATTATTTTCCAAGTGAGAATTTTTGAATGTATCTTTATAATTCACCAATAACTCTTTTTTGGCCTTTTTTTTTTTCTTCTAGTTATCAGAGCCAATTTTTCACTTCAGGGAAAGCCTCCTGCTTAAATAAATAAATGAATGAATGAATAATAACCCAGCACTCCTCACAAATACCTGAAACTTGAAATCAAATATTTTTATTCCACAAACATACAACTGAGTTATGACAGAGGAAACAGAGAATAACAGAAGGGATAAAAAAGAAAAGTCATATTGTCATAGAAATAAAATAATAAAATATGTACTACTCAGCCATATAAAACATATATAATTATCTTGACAAATTAAGAGTATTCTTTCTTAAATTAGAGCCTAATTATGGCTCTAGCTGAGTTTGCTCAGTGGATAGAGCATTGGCTGGCAGACTTGATTCTGGTTAAAGGCATGAACCTAGGTTGCAAGCTCGATCCCTAGCACTGGTCAGGGTACGTGTAGGAGACAACCAATGCATGTATCTCTCTCACATCAATGTTTCTCTCTCTCTTTCTCTCTCTCTCTCTCTCTCTCTCTCTCTCTCTCTCTCTCTCTCTCTCTCTCTCTCTCTCTGTCTTTCCCTCTCCCTTCCACTCTCTAAAAAGCAATGGAAAAATATCCTCGGGTATGGATTAACAACAACAAAAGGCTAACTCTGACAAAATATAATTGTTGAGTTGCTTTGTTGACAGATTTCTTTCAAAAGACTAAGAAAGCTGGTGGAGATATACTAGACAAGTTATATGGCCAACAAGTAATGTGAAAAACATAATAACGATGGGGAATTCAACAAAAAGTGATCTCATCATAAAAGACTTCTAAAAGTAAAGAAGAGATCAACTAGGCACATACATACAATTACATATGTATCACACTTTTTAAAAAGGACAGTTCAAAACATAAAAAGGTATGATCCCACCAAACCAATGGCTAAGTGAAATGGCTCACAAGAGATGGATCTTTCTAAATTCCATTTATATACCTGTAAACAATTCCAATAATAAAAAAGAGGGAAGCATTCAGTATGGCTGCAGAATGACTCCCTGGAGAGAAGCTAATGGAGCTAAAGAAATTAGGATGAACATAATAGAACAACAAAACCATACAGATATAGTATCAGAAATGGGAAAACTAAAACACACACACACAAAACAAAACAAACACACACACACACAAAACAAAAACAAACAAAAAACCCCACACACGAAGACTTGGGGAAAAAATGCTTCAAGATGATAACAGGTTTTATAGCTAAATTCAAATAAACGATTATTATCCCACCTTATATTGTACAGCACTTAAATTCTACAAATTTTTCACACACTTTATCTCACAATATCTCTTTGGAATTTTACAGGACAAACATAATTCCTGTAGGTGAGAAAACTGAAGCACAAGCAGATAAAGCAACTTGCCCACCATGGCTAGTGAGAGGTGGGGGGCGATTTGGACCCAAGTTTGGTAAAATGTACTATTTTTCAAAGAGAACAAGGAACTGAGAGAATCACTGCTCAGAGAGGATGTTGGTAAGGTTGAGAGAGCACGTACAGAAGGCAGAATTGCTCAACTTGTATTTTGTTTATCTTCTCTCAGTTTTTCAACTACGGTTGCAGAAGAACATTGAGAACTGAAACCTGAGCCTGGTGAATAACAGAGACTAAAACAGCTTAATGTGAATGTAAATCTTCAGGTCCAGATGCAATCCATTCCATATTGCTAAAGCAATAAACGAGTATCATACAAAGCTGCTATAATCTTGGAGAAGAAGCTCAGAGAGAACTAATTATGGCCTGGAGATGGGTCAGAGTTGCATCAAGTTTTGCGGGCTGGCAGGAGTGGGAAGCAGATTTCAGAAATTACAGACAAATAAATGTAATATTAAGCCTTAGTCAAATCTGAGACTAGGCTATATATGGTGTTTGAATGCCTAAGAATGGTTTTGAATATAATGATCACTGGATATCAGCATGAATTCAAACAGAACAAATAATGTCAAATCAACTGCACTTAGATCTTGGAAAAGAATGATTTCTAGATTTCTAATAATTACTCTATCTGTCACACTTTTGTAAGCACTTTATATGTATTACCTCATATAATCCTTCCAACAACCCATTCTATGGTTGAGAAAACAGAGGCTTAGAGATTGGAGTACTCACCTAAGATCACACAATTGGGAAAACCAGAAATATATATATATATAGTGTATTCTCCTCAAAACAGTGTTCAAGATGGTTTTCCAAGTGACTTTTGATATATGTTGCCTGAGTGTGACTTGGATAAGCTTGCTGCTCTATGTCAACTTAGATGAGGAAGGGCCTTGGAAGTCTGTCCTTGGTTCTACATTTGGAATCTGACAGGGCAAACTTCATTTCTGCAGGTGAGAAAACTAAGCAAAGAAGATAAAGCAATTCGCCCACTGTGGATATTAAGAGGTGGGGAGGGCATTCGGACCCAAGTTTTGCAAAACATACTGTTTCGCAAAGAGAACTTCAGGAACTGCTTCCAAAACTCGAGACTCTACAATCTGGGGGAAATAAAGTAAAATTAAAGTGAAATGTAACAAGGATGTGTGTAAAGCTTTGCATTTAGTTTCAAAAACTTAAATGTGCAGTAGAGAAATGGAGAAATGCTGCCAAAACCGGTTTGGCTCCGTGGATAGAGCGTTGGCCTGTGGACTGAAAGGTCCCAGGTTCGATTCTGGTCAAAGGCATGTACCTTGGTTGCGGGCACATCCCCAGTAGGGGGTGTGTAAGAGGCAGCTGATCGATGATTCTCTCTCATCGATGTTTCTAACTATCTATCCCTCTCTCTTCCTCTCTTAAAAAAAAAAAAAAAAAAAAAAAAAAAAAAAAAAAAAAAATGGAGAAATGCTTCTTAGAAACTGTTCCTAAGAGAAGTTATAAACCCAAGAGTGGGAGCTGCTAATATAATGACCAAAAGAGCTGCAATCTTAAATCCCAGGACACAGAGAATATATCAGCATCACTCTGTATACTGGGTGCCAGTCAGCCTACTTTACTAGTGTATTCATTTCTACAGCCCACATTTTTTTAGAGCTGTATTGATTTTTTAAAAGTAATATAATGGTGAAAACAATGTCACGTGATAAAATATGACTAACAAAACCAAACAGAATAATGGTCTTCAAATATTTGAAAAGGTGTTAAGAAAACAATAGGTTTTATTCAGCATCACTGCAGAGGGTGGAAGTAAAATGAAAATAATAGCACTACTTACTTACCTCAGAGGTTGTTGTGAAAACTGAGCTAAGTAAGTACCTACAACAAACAGTCCTTGGCTTACAGTAAGTATTCAGGAAATCCTAGCAATTTTCACAGGATTTAGGTGAAGGAATTAACTAAGCTACTACTTTATGCTAAATAATGCAATTGAGATGCGATGCTTTATTAAACCTTGGCAACAACTCTGGAAGATTTGTTTTAATTCTATTTTATAGAAAAGGAATTAGAGCTTGAGTTATTGCTTGTCCAAAACTACACAGCTAATAAGTGATGGGACTGGGATTCAGACAAAAGTTTCCTTGACTCCAAAACCCTTGTTCCTTCTACTATCTCATCCCACCTCCAGCACCTCAAAAACGGAACAGGTTTTCTCGTGAAGCAATGAGCTCCGTAATACCTGACACCAGTGTGGATTTAAAAAAGCTGATCTGTCATTAAAAAAAAGTAGTAAAAACATCTATGAAAATGTGCAGGTTAAATATTACAAAATACAAGATGTTGCCATGTTCAATAATTATTTAATTTTAATAGATGTCTTCCACTAAATTTTCATTTTATTATACCTGCTAACACTAGCCAAATAAAAGTAACTGTCTAGTAATACTATCTACTAATTTATCAGAATTACTGATAACTATTAATAAACCACATAAATGTTATACTTATGAACAAAAATATTTTTAAAACATTCAGCATGAACACAAATAGAAGAAAGTAAGTGAGCTGTCATATTAGCTTCTGCCCACTCATCCCATCTGTTTTTCCTCTCCCTGTTTTGTTTTATGGAACTCTGATTTGTAAGATGCAACAAGATGTAGGGTACAAAATATTAAAACTAAATATACCAGAAATCTAAAAGCTCTGATTTATTTTGTCTTTATGCTTCAATGATAAAACTGACAACAGTACACATACATTTTACATCAATTAGGTATATTGGTTTCTAACATCTATAAATTGGCAAGCACTTCTAATATGCTTATTTGAAACATCTGGAATTTGCCTTGGGGGAGCTTTCTGTCACCTACCCCAGTGTTTTTCAACCTTTTTTGGGCAAAGGCACACTTGTTTCATGAAAAAAATCACGAGGCACACCACCATTAGAAAATGTTAAAAAATTTAACTCTGTGCCTATATTGACTATATATAAAGTAATTCTCTTGAATAGGAATCAAATAAACACAAAGAAAGTATTTTATAATTACTTTATTATGAAATATTAAGTAAACAAAATAGTGAAAAATTATAAAATTCTTGTCTTGTCTGCACCTACAGCACACCAGGCAACATCTCGCGGCACACTAGTGTGCCGCGGAACAGCGGTTGAAAAACGCTGACCTACCCCATTCAAATAAAATCATATAATCTGTCACCTTGTTGAAGGGAATACAAAGGTAAAGTACCTTATTATTAGAGATAAGTAAAACAAAGGCCCTGGAGGTTAGGGGGTTTTAACTGAGAGTTACTTCATGGTAACATTACAAGCTGATCTACCTTTCTCGCCCTCTTCCTCACCTCCCACCTACACTACATGTACATTATCTCTTAGCAATGCATTTAATTAGAAGCAGCTCTGATAGCAGGATTTTCACTCAACAAACACTTATTGAGTGCCCGTTATTTGCCAGACCGTTATGAGACACTGAAGTGACCAAAGCAGACATGATACTGCTCTTTTTGAAGGTTACAGTATGATGTGGGCCATATACAGCACACAAACATTCACATAAACAGCTAGGCAATTACAAATTATAATGAGTGATATGACAGAGTATAGTGCTAAGAGGACCTAATTTCAACTGGGGTCTCAGGCAAGGTGTGCCTGTAAGGAAGTGGTATTAAAGCGAGATCTAAGGATCAGTCCGACTCAGGGAAGCAGAGTGAAGCAAATAGGATTCCAGGAAGACACAACAAATACTTCAAAAGGAAGTCCATTAGCCAGTGTTCTTTTTGTATTCAGCAAAGGCTATAGTGAAAAGGTAAAATGTTCTTTCTATTCAGAATAGCATATTTACCATGACTTTCTATGAGTAATGGGTTTTCCTGATTCAATTTAGTTTTGTGTGCCAAGAATGCTGATTAACAGGGGAGGGGGGTGCTTTTTATTCTCCTGTTGATAAGTGTATTTAAAAAAAATATATTTTATTGATTTTTCACAGAGAGAAGGAGACAGGGATAGAGAGCTAGAAATGTCTATGAGAAAGAAACATCAACCAGCTGCCTCCTGCACACCCCCCACCGGGGATGCACCTGCAACCAATGCACATGCCCTTGACCGGAATCGAACCCTGGACCTTTCAGTCCGCAGACCGACGCTCCACCACTGAGCCAAACCGGTTTTGGCGATATGTGTATTTTTTCAACATGTAAAAAAGCATGTGGCCTTTTTTAAAGCAATACTGACCAATGTCCTGAAGTCAATGTCCATGTTTTGACTTAATCTAGGCTTGACTTTGCTTAGTAATACTGATGTTGCTTTCAACTGCATATTGTATTATTAAAAAATTCAAATAACTTTGTGGCTTTTTGGTTTGTTTAAAAGAATAGTTTGTAGCATTCCTTAAACCTATTTATCTGTTTTAAAAAACATAACTATTACATTAGGTTAATAGACTTTTTCTCCTAAGAGCTCACATTTGACTACATTGTTGCTGCTAAAATTCTGCTCAGCTGAAGCAGGGGTATTTCACTCTCAGTTTTTCCACTGTCAAAGACAACACAGAAAGAGAGGTCCCCAGGTCGGCCCTCTGAGCAGGCACTGAAATGTTTATCCAGTAATAAGATTACAGACTGTCAGTTTGGCAATGTTGAATGAATCTGTTGAGCTTCATCACCAATCCTTACATCAGTCGTATCTGAGAAATTGATTGGCTGATAGCCAATGAACCATTTCTCACATCCTGCTGCTATAAACCAACCATGTATGTGGAGAGAACTTCTTTGTATATGAAATTAAAATTCAAACATCTCCCAAGTACATCACCTCAAATCTTTTTCCCCCACTAATGAGACAATTGCTACAAAGAGGCACACACACAAGTTCAACTTGAATTACATAATGGGAGCGACTCAAAGTATTATCAGTACAGAAAATTGTGGATCATAAGTATGATTATTATTAAACAAATTAAAATTTGTACTAGCAAATAATTTCCCCATATTTCAAGTTCTGTAAAAGCAGTCTCTTTTAAAAAATGAGCAATAACTCCAATATGATATTTACACCAACTTTAAATATCCTTTTAAAAATAGAGTCCCTCAAGAAAGTGCATTTAAATGACCAGTATTTATTTAAATAAATGTTTTTTTCAATACTTATATAATTTTTAAAATTTAACACCCCAAAACTTAAAAGGTTTTTTTTTTTTTTTTTTTTTTTTTTTTTTTTTGAGTGCGGCAGTGTTTACATGGAAAACAATCCAGTAAAAGAGAAACTTTTATTTTAAGGAGGTCACCGGATGAAACTGAAAGCTAGTCAAATCTGCATATTTAAAAGACTCACTACCTGGGATGCCTTAAAAAAGTTAGTTTCAAGATATAAAGCAGCCAGCATTCCTGAATTTGAATCCGCTAAAAAGTTAAATGCCATATACCAAACGATTGAGCCTCGGGTGGAAACTGGCTTGCCAAATATTCCAAGCTCATCTGATCAGACAGACTTACCACATCTCTTTTCCCTACAGGAAGCAAAACCTAGTACCATGAAGGCTTCTGGGACACGTTTTAACTCCTTTCATCAAACCGTGCCACTTCCTTTTGCCTGCATTGCCATGCTTGCTCTCCATCCCAGATCCTCCCAGGGGAGGAGGGAAAGGTCCCGTTATAAAGTAAACCTGGCCTAGACTTGATGGAATGCCTTGAGCAGCAAACCCACAGATGATGCCCAGCCCTCGTTGCATCAGAAGTTGGGAGGTTTGATCGAAGCAAAACCAGTCGCTAAAAAACGTTCAGGAAGAACGTCAGCCTTAAGCACGTGTAAGAGGAACATTTTTCCGAGGTACAGATTGCGGCATTTAAAAGTTTTTGTTTTTAAATCTGCGACTAGATAAGCAGCTCCTCAAGGCTGGATCGCACAGAGCAGTAGCAGCGCAGGGTGTAACTTATCCTCTCTAATCGGAGATGACACTGATAGCCTTGTTTCCTGTGGGGATGGGTGTGGCGGAGAGACTCAGGTCCCAGCCATCATCAATCTGTGCGTGTGTGCGTGTGTGTGCATGTGTGTGTGCGTGTGTAAAAGTCTGCCGCTCTCACACTCGCCTGTCACTCGGTTTCTAGCGGCGCCTGCCTGCCAGCCGGCGGGGCCTCCGCCTCTCTCTGGCTGCGATGGCTTCAAACAAAATATCCAACAGGCAGCCGGGCGGTCCGGGTTGTTTTTATGGCTCGGAGAAACAGTTGCACCCCTCTGTGTTTCATCTTAAGAAAAAAAAAAAATAAACGAGGAAAAAAAACAACAAAAAACTCCTCCTCCGGGTGACTGAGAACAACTCGGGGCCACGCTGCAACTTGCAAAACTTCGAAGCAGACTCAGGAAGCTGGGGCGGGGGCTCGCGCTCTCCGGACACACGGCCTCCCCCCCCCCCCGCCCCCATTTGGAGAAGGGCACCCACCCGGCAGCGGGATGAAAAGGAAAGAGAAAGGCTCATCCCCCATTCCGGAGCCCGGCTGCCGCCGCTCCGGCGGCGGGGCTGGTTTGGGGGGCCCGGGACCACCCGATCGTGGCCGAGGGGCCGGGCGCGGGGGTCGCCCGCGGAGACCCAGTGGGCCCCGCGCCCCGCGCCGCCGCCGCCGCCGCCGCCGGAACTTGGCCTCCGGCGCCCCCATCGCCGCGCGCGCCGCCAACTTCCCGCCCGGCCCGCGGCCGCCGCCCAGCCCCGCGCCGTCCAGTCCCGCCGCCGCCGCCGCCGCGTGCGGGGAGGGGGAGGGGAGGGGGAGAGGGAGGGGTGGGGGAGGGGCCGCCCCCGCCCGCCGGGGCCCGAGAACAAAGCGGCGGCCGCGGCGGCGCTAACTTTTTCGGGGTCGGTCCCGCGCCCCCTGGGGCGACTTCTTACGGAGGAGGAGGAGGAGGAGGAGGGCTCGGCCGTCCGTCCGGGAGAAACTCCGCGCTCGGGTCTCGGACGAGGCGCCAGCGAGGCTTCACGCGCCTCTCAGGATCCCGCCCGCCGCAGGCGCCCCTTCCTCCCGCCTCCGCCCTCCTCCCCGTCCCGTCCCGGAGCCCGAGGGCGGGGGGCCCGCGCGTGCGGGGCGGGGGCGCGCGGCCGGCGCGGGGGCTGCCGGGAGTTGTAGTTCCCGGGCGGGGCGCGGGCGGGGGGAGCCGCGCGGGGGCGGCACTCTCGGTCCTCTGGACCCTGGATGCCCCGGGCTCGCGCCGCCCCCTCGGGAGCCGCGGCGCCTCCGGGAGCGCGCGGGGGGCCGGGGGGAGGGGGGTAGAGGCGGAGCGGGGCGCGCCCGAGGGTCTGGAGCCGTTACTCGCGCCGCCCGGGGTGCCCGGCGTGGCTGCCGAGCTGTCTGTCTTTTTCTCTCGCGGTCCCGCTCCGGCGGAGGCGATGGGGGCGGGAGGCCAGAGGTGCGGGCTGGAACAGGGGTTGGGGGGGTTGGGAGGGGACGGGTCGGGGGTGCAGAGCAGAGAGGGGGAGATGGGTCGGGGGTGCAGAGCTGAGAGCAGTCCCCACCCTGAGATCGCTTCTCCCAGCTGCCCGCGTGCCCTCCCGGTGGGTGCCTGCCCTCGGGGGCGGCTGGCAGGGCAGAGCACCCCGGGCATCCCGCACCCAGGCAGGCGGACGCAGCCAGAGCCCCCGCCGCCAACAGCAGCCTACCCTGAAGTGGCTGCTTCCCATGGGTGTGGGGTTTCCCCACTTAGCCATCTTTAAAAAAAATAATAATAATAATAAAAAAAAAAAATATATATATATATATATATATATATATATATATATATATATTATTGATTTTTTTACAGAAAGGAAGAGAGAGGGATAGAGAGCTAGAAACATGATGAGAGAGAATCATCGATCAGCTGCCTCCTGCACTCCCCCCGTCCCCCACTGGGGATGTGCCCGCAACCAAGGCACATGCCCTTGACCGGAATCGAACCAGTGTGCAGACTCACGCTCTATCCACTGAGCCAGACCGGTTTCGGCATAACTTGGGCATCTTTAAAATTCCAGTGCGTACCCCCTGCGATCCAAGGGAAGTGCGGGCAGGAGCCAAGGATCTGGGCTTCTCCTGGCCGGGAAGCCCGGTGGCAATGTCTGGTGAATGGAACGGGGGTGGGGGTGGGGGGTACAGGGGTGGAAATCGGGGTGAGCATCCAAGTGGAAAACACACGGCGTGTTCAATCCCAGATGTTTTGGGCGAGAAAAGCCCGAGCAGCTGTCCCAGAAACGACCTCATTCTCCTTCTGTCAAAATGTTTCCCCTCCCCGCCCTCCAAGGACTTCACTGAATTGTGTGGAAACAAGCGAAGGGGAGGGCTGCAGTCAACAACAATCCTTCCGTCCCCAAGCAGAAGTCAAGAGGGCAGGTTTTGTTTGTTTGTTTGTTTTTTGAGAATAGAAAGAAAAGAAAGTTAAAGTGGGTCCCTACTTTTTTTTTATTTTATACCAAGTCGTCAATCTTCATGACTGCCCCAGGATTTAAAGTTAATAAATGCGAGTTGTGCTCTGGCCCGTGCACTCAGTGCTTAGAGCGGTACCCGAGGACCGAAGGGTCGCGGGTTCGATTCCTGGTCAAGAGCGTGTGCCTGGGTTGCGGACTGAGTCCCCGGTGGGAGGCAACCAGTGGACATGATCTTTCTCACGTAGATGTTTCTCCGGCTGGCTGGTCCTCCCCCCACTCCCTTTTGTCCCTCTCTCTAAAAAAAAAAACAATAGGAAAAATATCCTTGGGTGAAGATTAACAGAAGGAGAAAAAAGGAGAGGAGGAGGGGGAGGGAGAATATCGAAGATGAGATAAGTAAAATCGTATAAACCCTAGTCCTACCCTGAAGCTATGTTTTTCAAAAAAAAACCAAAAAACATTTCTGAAACATTCTCAGGACGGGAGGCTGCTAAATGTCTCACATCCAGTAGTAGCTCTCTCGTTCCATCTAATTACACCTTATACTTCATCTTGCGCTGCCATTCTCTCACTGTAAAATTGAAAGTAAATTCAGTTGTTTACTTTTTTTTTTTTTTTTAAAGAATGCCCTTACCTAACTTTGCCTTTTTCTTCCTTCCACTTCCCAGCAGACGTCTTAGTCCAGCCCCAAATATCCTCTCTCGCAGGATTCCCAGGACCTCATTGGAGCCGTTTACAGCCAGTCCCATCGCACCAGTGACTTCCATTTTCTCTCGTGGTCCTTAAAGAGACAGATGTTACTCTTCCTAGAAGCCACTTTGCCAAATGAATCAAGCTGCTACTATATAGAGGCTTAAGGATTTGTGTATGTGTGTGTGTGAGAATTCCACATGACACCTCTTTTCTTTATTTGCATTTAAAGGTGGCTTTATATAATTTACCGTTTGATTATATATTTTATTATTATTTTTTAATCCTCATCCAAGGAAATGTTTTTATTGATTTTTGGAGAGAGAGAGAGAGAGAGAGAGCGCGCCCTAACAGAATGGAGCCAGCAACCTTTTCATGTACAGGATGACACTTCAACCAGCTGAGCCACCTGGCCAGAGCATGTTGGTTTTATTTATAGTATAGATAGACTACAATGACCTGAACATTTTACTATAATCCGTACTCTGATCAGACACTTCACATTTCAAAATCTCAAGTATCTCTAGAAAGAATTCAGACTTCACAGGCTTTAAATTGTCTCATAGTTCCTTAAATCATGATGAAGTGTTTAGCTGAAGGCTAACTGATATTAATTTCCTTCGTCTTTTTTCCTAGATTCCCTTTGAGACTTTCTAGTCCTTGATGTATTGATTCAGGAATCTTTTTTTTTGAGAGGCCTCCATGTGCAAGGCACTTAATAGATCTACAGGTAAAACAGCTGTTCTCAGGAACCTAAAGTGCATTAAACAAGATATGTGAAGATCTCTAGTACAGAGACGAGAATTAAAAAAAAAATAAGCAGGAAGCAAAATAAATAGCTAGCAGATGTTAGAGAAGTACAAGACATTCCCCTGACCTGGGGAAGAGTGAGTGCATGGGAAAAGAGAATTTAGCTAGCTTTTGAAGAAAGAGTAGGATTTGGAAATATGGGGAGAGGAATGGGGAAAAAACAAAAAAGAAAATTTTAGTTGGAAGCAACAGTGAGCAAAGGCACATAGGTGTGAAAACATGGACACATTTGCGAGCTAAGCAGTTCAGTTAGGCTAAGCTATTGGTTTTTTTCTTCTTCTTCACAATTAAAAAAAATTGAGATATAATTTATAAGCCATAAAATCCACTCTTGAAACGTGTGCAATTTGCTGGGTGTTAGTACATTTATAAATGATGGTGCAAGATCACACCATCTAATTTGAGAATATTTTTATGACTCCCCAAAGAAATCCCAGGCCCTATGGCAGTCACTCCTCATTACCCGCTGCGCTGGCCAGCCCACCCAGAGGGCCCCCAACAGAGTGATGGGTGTTTGCCGTTAGGAGCCCTCACCTGAATGGTGAGTGTGGAGGAGATATTGGCAGGGCATCTGCTGCATCTACTCCATGTGGCTGCAACTTCCATCTTACAAACCTGTATCTCTAGCCCCATCTCCTGCCCATCTCTCTCTCTCTCTCTCTAAAAAAAATAAATAAAAATAAATAAAAAATCCTTTGATCTCTGTCTGTAACCACCTGAATGACCCACAGAAAAATCACAAATGCAACGTGTCCCTAACTGAGCTCATCTTTTCTTCTTCCTCTGCGTGTTTCCAATCTTAGCGCAGAGTACCACGTCTGGTTAGTCATCCATGGCAGAAACTTCTGCCTGAATTCCTTTTCTCTTTTCTCCAGATCTCATCGGTGGCTAACCCCCACCGGTTTCCAGTTTCCTGTGTTGTGTGCCTTTCTTCTTTTGCCACCATTACCATCTTAGTTCAGGCCTTTTACTAACTCTCGCCTGATCTACTGAAGTGACCTATGAGATTCCCCTGCCTCGAACCTTCTCTTCTTTAACCCGCTCTCCACTCTGCCACCAGAACAATAGTTCTAAAATGCGGAATCCGCCGAAACCGGTTTGGCTCAGTGGATAGAGCGTCGGTCTGCGGACTGAAAGGTCCCAGGTTCGATTCCTGTCAAGGGCACGTACCTTGGTTGTGGGCACATCCCCAGTAGGGGGTGTGCAAGAGGCAGCTGGTCGATGATTCTCTCTCATCGATGTTTCTAACTCTCTGTCCCTCTCAATTCTTCTCTGTGTAAAATCAATAAAATATATTTAAAAAATTAAAAAAAATAAATAAAATGTGGAATCCGTCCTATCATTTCCTGAGCCTCAAATCCTTCAATTGCCAATCAGCATCTTTAAAAAAAACACAATTATTGTTTTGTTTTTTTTCACAGAGAGGATGAGAGAGAGGGATAGAGAGTTAGAAACATCAATGAGAGATAATCATCGATCAGCTGCCTCTTGCACCCCCCACCCCCACTGGGAATGTGCCTGCAACCAAGGTACATGCCCTTGATCGGAATCGAACCTGGGACCTTTCAGTCTGCAAACCTACGCTCTATCCCCTGAGCCAAACCGGTCTTGGTGCAACCAGTGTCTTTCTTGTGCTAACTTTAGAGCAGGCATGCCCCCTTCAATGGCCCCCTTCCTGCTTTCTCATACTGCTGACCCCCATTCTTCATATATCTATGACCTCGTGCAATTCCCCTGCGTGCTTTTGTTCATGCCACACCTGCCTCCCCCTTTTCCACCTGGCAAACATTTCAAAGACTCATTCCGTTCAAGTAGTCTCTGGGACGCCTTTCCTGCCTCTTCCAGGCCTGACGGGGATAACCATTCCTTCCTTCCGTAGCACGTGTGTCACACCTTTACCTCACTCTCTCTCTTCCTAAGCTGTAAGCTCCTCGAGAGCAGGGGTCATAGCTGATTCATCCTTACATTCCTTGCAAAGTGCCTTTCCCAGTCTTAGTCCTCCGCTGACGTGGTTGAATACTAGAAGTCTGGGAGGCATGGCAGAGGGTGGAGAATGGAACTGTGGAGAAGGTGGCAGAACCCTGCAGGAAGACCGGGGCAAGCATTGCGTTCCTTGGT